ATTTGGTGAGCCCATATTCTCCGCCAAATCATAACTATTACACAAGATAACAATACGTGTGAGTCACTCCGTGCAATCTTTATTATCGTCATGGTTAATTTTTACGAGTCTTTCCGAAGAAAAGACTCTCATCTCTAGTGTACTTTTGAGATTTGCATTTTAAAAACTCGCAGTTTATCTCGCTCGTGTTTTTACCTTCAACGTTGCATTGTGGAATCAAATGTGGGTCGAGTATTGTTTTGGATGATTGACGAACGAAGAAAACTGCAAAATGGTAATAACACATTCATACTCAATGCGCTTATCAGTTTCACCATATACGATAAACATCGGTATATAAGGTAAGTCGAGCGCTGGGCTTCGGGTTCAATCGTTCTCGACTATATACGCAATGATGAGGTGCGCATTAATTTTCGTATCAATTTTCGTATTAATGGTGCTACTCGTTTGTCAGTGCCAATCCTTTGGCTGGAGCCTTCTTGATGACATGTATTCTGGTGAGTATTGCAATTTCATTTACTTGGAGTACCTGTGATTCTTTCTCTAAATTAATTGCAGTTCAGCTACCTAGTTCTTTATTTATCAAAATCATTGCTTTGTGATTTTCAATAAATAATTCTCAGTGAATGAGGTTTCAGTTATCTTGTATCGTAAATATTTTCATTTTCTTTATTGTAAGTTTAATTTTCTGCCTAAATAAATAAATAAAACTTATATTGTCTACGTTATTCATTAAGATTTATTCAATTTAAAAATAAATTTAACGGAATTTAACGGAAATAAATTTAAAAGTCTTATTATAAAACGATCAGTTTTAATAAATTAATGAATCATAAATATTCATACTACAAGAAAAATATTTTGATAATAATAATGATAATAATAATTATTATAATGTTGTAATAATACTTTAATATTTTATCTGAATTTATTTATTAAACTATTATTACATTTTTCAAAATACTTTTTAAATGCGTTTGTAATTTAAAGAAAATGTTATTTTTAGATTCTTCAGAGCAAATCAATGGAACGTTAATCAAGTATATGTACGAAGAAATAGCAAAACTTCGACAACAATTTGAGATCATGGTAAACACTTCTTCAAATAACCACACCAAAGAGTTTTAAAAAAATGTCTACTTAAATCCAACGTAATGTAGTCGTGTTAATTACACGCCATAGCCTAGTTTCTTTTTATACCATTCCGTAATTAAAATGATATTTGAAAAAATTTCTCTTATCACCAAGTATTTATTTGCCGTTATACAATCCAGACGTAAAACGCACCGTTCGACTAATTAAATCGATGAGCGTGCGAAACAAGCGCCCAGAGAATATAGTCAAGAAAGGAAGGGAAGAAGAGGGAGAGGTTGGATTCCCATGAGATATCAGTGGGCGTCGTCGTTGTCTCGTGCAATAGCCGGCGACATGTAAATGAGAGCATCTCTCGGAAGCTCTCGGAGCCAATCTAAATTGCTAGGCGTCCTCGCGGGAGCTTCATTCGCGCGATGATCGGACTATATACATGTACACCGCACCAACGGTTGCCACGCATAAATCAACTTGCGTCCATACTAGCTCTTAATTACTATTTATAGTCTTGTCTTTCGTTGATATATCCTGATCGCGAAGATATTTTCACTATATCGTTATGCTATAACTGTAATTTCGGTCGATTCATCCGAGGCAATATTGGAGTTAGAAATACACTATCACGAATATCGCGAAATCACAAAATAAGCGTTTGAAACTAATTTAACTAGAATATCGCTTGACGATGCGAAAAAATGCTTAGTTAATTGGATTCCGATGTCACTTGTCCACGTGGATGTGCGTGCATTTACCTCTTGATCTAACATGCAACAGGTGGCAAATGTAATATTATAAGTGTTGATAAAATCAATTGTAAAGCGTACTTTTCTGAACGTATCACAGTACGCTATTGTGTAAAAGTGACTGCCTGCACTTGACGTTTTCCACTTGAATCTGACATCTACAAAGCGTCACTGTAGAATTGCGTTGGGGATTTTAACTTGAATTACATTTCAGTGTTTGTTGGAATCGAAACCTAACCAAATGGTGAATCAGGTGTGAGATATATAGCGCGACGGAGTTAGGCATCTGTACATCGAGGATTGAGAGCAAGTTCTATATACACACGCACAATCGAGCTTGAGGATCTTCGAGTGCCACTTGGAAATTCCAAACGGCTTGTACCATCTAATTGACTGCATATAGTCCGGCAAATATATTGGTCGTCGTGACAACAATGACGCGAATTTGAGTCTCGTCATATTAATTTCCGCGCGCTCCAGCTTATGCTTGAATAATTGCCGAAGAAACGCTCTCCGTAATCAGATGGCTGACAATGTGATGGGCTCGCGCGTCCATTAATGCGCGTGCACGTGATCGATATTTTATCAGTCTCTTTTTCTCTCTCCCTACGGAAGCTCGCTCCATTCGTTCCCCTATATTCTCCCTCGTAACCCATTCTATTATCATACGAATGCAAACGGAGCTCGGATTATCGATCGCCGGCAGCACTGATGGATTATTCAGCTTTTACGCTGATATACAGAGAGTTGTAACGAAAATACTACTCCGTCGCTAAAAAGAAACTATAGATTCCATCAGCATGAATAAAGCCGGAAGAATTACACATGTGCTTCATATTTTATTTCGTCGCGAATCTAGGTCGAGAAAATATGATTGTCATTTTGAAAAATGTTCGTGATCCATCATGACTAATCATGCCAGCTGAACCGTAATAAATCCCAAGTAGTGGTATTTGAAGTTCGGTATATGTGTGCGAGGATTGTATTGAGGAGAGGATTATAAGTCAATATCAAATATTGTCTCTGATATCATATGAATACTTATATAATTAGATCGACACTTAACCAATGACGAATTAATGTTTTTTCTCGTATTGTGATATTAAATTCGTGAATATTGCCTAGATTATTGGATTAATACGACACTCTGCATGTGTGGCTAATTGCCGTTAATTTGGTATTTGAATAACTGATTTTGCGCTTCATTGAATTGCACGCGAAACTGTGACATAATAAGGTGCATCAATGCTTAATGCGACGTGCTTATGTGCATGTGTAAGTTACATTGTTATCGATCAATATAATCCCTTCCACAGTTATTATTACATTGTATCTAAATGTTGAGAATTGTTAGAAGAGGAAAATCGAAATTTTAGGTGAAAGTCTGTACATTTTTAAAATTTCGGAATAACTGCCACGGTTACGCAAACAATAGTTTGAGATAAAAAAGTTTTGCTACAGAGGATTGTTCTCGCATAACGTAACACTTGCTATTTTTCCAGCTACAACTTTCTCGCAAAAAGCGGAAAAAAGGTAAATAGGGAACTAGAGCGTATATTCGACGTGATTAATAACCCGCAAACCACACAAAACGGGAGAGTAAAAAAAAATCCGCACGTTCATTTACTTGAAAAGCGGAGGGAGACTAAATGAACGCCCCTCGTGCATTTGATTGCTGAAGTTTGATTTTACATTGTCTGTCTCGCGAGCATATAGACCACCGATTGGATTATCGGACGTTGTTGCAAGCTGCGCATTCATATTGCTGTGTGCAGCCAAATCTTCATTTCATTATATATACACACACCGCTACATTGATTTTAAATACTCATGAAAATTTCTGCTCGTATGAATCGGTTGTTATCGCTCATGCGAACTGGGTTATGTACTCCCACGCCAAAGACTCGCGGTTTAACACTCGAATTATTTAGAAGTACCCCGGCGAACATTATCCGGGATTCATTCATATAAAAATAATTAGCTCATGCACGCTTTGGTAGACGATGTCTAATCGACTTACGTGTCATGCGGATAGAACTTTTTAATTATTTACAATATTGTTAACTAAAATATTTCTCTTCATTTAGATGTATTAATGTGGCATTGTGCGAACGATCGCAGAGCACTTTTTTCTTTGGTCGTCATAAATAAACACTCAGTTGTTTGCATTGTTCGTTCAAACGCTTTTCATTCAGCTTATGAGATTTTTGAGTGTACGCCTCGGGTATGTAAAAATTTATTGCATTCTTAATGAGAATAGCAGGAGCTACATTTTTCGCTTAATCATTTATTGAAAAACACGTACGTTATTTTTAATTTTTACCCAATTTCAGCCAGGAACAAACGCAGTATTTTTTCATGAACGACGATGTATACACGCATGCCATAAATTTAGAGAAAGAAAATAAAAAAACATTATGTACGCGGTATGACGTATCACTATCGATAAAATTTTTAAAATGTGTGCGGTTCTCCGTCCTTACCTATCATAATCATTGCAGCAAGTAATGAATTTTGCAATTAAATTTCAAGGGGATAATAAATACGTCGCTGTAAAATAAAAATTGAAGATAAATTTGATAATCAGCTTTACGAACATCGCATTTTTTATAATAAAAACTATAAAGTGATATCAATATAAAATAAAGCTATTTGCATAATTGTTGATCTATGAAAACGTAAGAAGCAAATAAACTTGTTGAGCAATATCCTTGAGGTATACGTAAACTACAGGTAACAACACAATCAGTAAGCGATGTTTCGGTACTCCGTTTAGCTCAAGTTAAGTCAGTGTTCCGGAGGCAAGCTCGAGCTTTCGTAAGCTGTTGCAGCAGTAGCGTTTATACTCTCGTCGGCCGATTATTCCGGGACGTTAGTCTGCAAAGCTCCTCTACCTCATACACACACACACACACCTCGTGCAATCTCATCACCCATGATAAACAATGTACCTGAGAAAGGTCACCAAATAATTACTATATTTTCATGCTAGTTGATAAACGCAAAACAAATTGCACGGACAAACAGAATTTTATCGAGGCATCGTCTCGTATTTTTTGTTCGAACAGGCTCCGGTTTGTTTCTCTCATCGAGCTTATTTGTGTTTGTGCTATAAATGATGCGACATTCCATCGTAAAGTTTTAACCGTTCACACTGGCATAGATATTTTTTTACGAAAAACTTTACTCAACGTTGCGTGTACAGTATATTATATGCTTTTATTAGTCTCATCAGTTATTGCTTTTTCGAACATGCGCTCGCACTTCATACGCTACTGTAATTTAATTTTGAAATTTATATATTATTATATATCTTGGAAAACTATTTCAGTACCTCTAAATAATAAATTGAGTAGTATACATTTCAACGGGTAATCGAGAACAACCACTCACGCAGCATACAAAACCAGTGCGGAAATCTCAATTGAACTAAGCCGAACGACAATATATAATGAAGATGAATCGTGCTTTAATCGCTCTAATTTCAGCGTTAAAGCTCCTCAAAATAAATATACTCGTAGCGCGGCCGAACTAGTGCGCGAGCAAATTATGTCGCATGGCGAAGCGCATAATGGGAGAGAGAGAGAGAGAGAGAGAGGGAGAGAGAGGGAGAAAGTCTGTTGTTTTTTGGCAGCTGGAGCATATCTACTATGAACACTAAGCTTCCGCTTGCGCAACGAGCATCGAGACAGAAGTCTCGTTCTGCGAGCTAAATATTCGAATACACCCCAAAGTGCTCTTGCAATGAATCTCAAGATGCGTAAGCGTGTCTATGCTCGGAAAAGTTTTTCTATCTCCGCGTTAAATTAAGTGCTCTGCAACGAGAGGACGTTAGGTAAGAGCTTTGCGCTAATGACTTTTACATACGAGCAGAGAGGATACGCATTGATCGACATTACGTAACCAGATCTAGTTTATTATTAAACGGACGTGCTTTGGATGCATTGGAATGAAGTATATGAGGAAAAGTAATTTAGGTTGCATAATGAAAAGCTGACATCAATTTGGCAAAAAATATAGATGAAACAAACTGACGATTATATTCGTGCATTTCTGGAGCGAACGCATTATTAATAACATGCATTAATACTGTATATTGATTTCTGAATTAATTGTAATATTAATTGTAATTACATGTGTATTAATACTGTTAATTATTTACTATCACGTTAATTTTATGTTTATTAATTATTATGTTAATGTGATAATAATATAATGATGATGATAATGCTGTTAGCCAATTGAGTTAAAATGTAGGTGTAAAAATGATTCCGGTGAAATCCTAGCGGGTTGTAGTTTTAATCAATGAAAATACAAAGCTGGTTCGTTAGTCCTCCGTTACTCCCATCAACAAAGTAAATTCAAATTACATCCATATAACAAAGGCATTTGACAATTCCAGGCAGAGTTAGTACAATACGTGGACGTTGTGATGTTCAGCAACGGTAAATTCAAGAACGTCATAGCGCAAGTAACGTCTCGCGAAGGTTGTCCAGTCGAGCCAGGTTTCAGTCTATCGCGCAACTACACACTCAGGTTAGAAAGAGGCACGACGAAGAATTGGATAGCATTAGAGGACGATCCTGGTGGTGCTAAGGCTGATGGTAATCTCTCGCCAACCGTCTTCTGCTCTAATAGCTCGTCCGAAGACAGGAACGTCTTTGCTATCTACGTCTCTTACTACGTCAAAGTAAGATTGCACCTCTACGTTCCTCATGCACCTTCCTAGTTTAAACAATAAAGTAGCGCGCTCGAGTACGATCGGATCATCTATTCATAAGCGGATTGAAAGTTTTCCGTTTTTTCCTACGTAAATATAGATTGACCGCAGCCTGATCCTCTTTATTGCGGCATCGCGATAGATGAAAATAAAATCGAAACTATGTGCGGATCGAGTGAATATTTCACTGGCTACAAGGTATATTTTATTTATCAAATCAAAACTGAACTTTCGAAGATAGCTGAATTGATAACCGCGTATATTCCATTGCGACAAATAAAGCAATACCGAAGCTTCCGAAATATATACCTATGCAACTGAACTTACTGATATAATTTTATGAATCTCGATTATCACTAGGTAAAAATAACAGTCTCACCAATCGGGGAATGGATCGGCAATGCAGTATCGCTGAAGCTACCTTTCATTCTGATGCACAATTATCCACCCACGTCATCACCACCACCTACGCCATCGCGTATTCTTGACAAAATAGAGACCCTCGACGACGACGACTCTTTGCCCTACATCGATAAAGACAGTACCAGCGACGAAGAGGAGGTTATCGACGATCCGAATACTGACAAGGAAAACGTGGCCAACGCTACTGTTGAAACTAATGGCGATGGTTTGAGGTAACTTTTTAGTTTTGTTATCTCGCTAGTGAATAATCAGTCACATTTGTCTAATATTTGTTAAGTGGTTAGACATTTGTAGTAGAAATAAAATCTTGTATATAAATTTCTAAGAATATTTTTAATCCATTAAATATTTAGTAATAAATTGATATCTTTATTTACGACTATTTTAATCGACATAATAGATAATAAATGATAGTTAGATTTGTGGCTATTTAACTTTCATAAATGTTAAACTGGCATAAAATCAGTCAACAAAATTAAAACATTGAAAGTAATTCGACGGTCAATGTTTCATTTTGGGACTTGCAGGTACTTTGTACATTTAGTTTTGAAACTGTTTACATATCAGAGTATCTCATGTTGTAGGTTAAACCTCGGTGAAGCACCAATACAAACAATACCAGTATCAACGATAGCGAAACTGACGACAACATCAAGTATCGTCGAAGTGGCAACCACAAAACACCGAGAGAGCATGTCAAACGTGGATCTAATAGAGTTTGCGGAGAAGGAGACAAGCAAGCGGAGTACCTGAGAGGAGGATGCGGCAACAACGACAATGGTGCGTAACTTGCAGGAGTTAGCGGCGCTGCAGGCCGGTGCCAAGGAAGGCTTCTGCATTAGACGGGCATGGTGTTGCTTCCGACGCGCCTCTTAGTCACTGCACTTTCTTCTTTTATTTTAAAGCAAACGAAATTTAAAGTATCTCGTTGTTTACGATTACGAACATTTTCCATTAAAAGAAGAAAAAGTAAATCATCGATATAACATAATTCTATTTTTTTAGCTCCAATTGTCGTTTCGGTCACGCGCACAAAGATCCTTCTTGAGTTTCCTTATTTTTTGTATTCGCTGAGCTGGAATGTTCGATCGATAGTTTTACTACTTACAATGTAATACTTTTCTCGTGTAGTCATTAGGTAAATAGCATTGTGTAAGAGTTAGCGGTATAAGAATTACAAATAATTGCTGCGCAATTGGATTTGATAATGTAATAAATAAGAGTGAAAAAAATCATTTCATTTTTATTTACCATAGTAGAATATCGAAATATGTCAACCCTAAACTCTAAAGTATTTGAAAATAAATATAAACCATTAGTTTTATAATTAAAGATTGTCAAGATTGTCAATAAAATTGAATATATACATGGATGATTTTACAACACGTAACAACGATTCGAAGTAGTTATGGTTTACTGTATAAAATGTAAATACTCATTTTAAAACATTATTAAATGATTTCCCACTATATCTTTAAGTTACAAAAGTCGTTTTAATTTATATCTCTGAGTGAATGAATAAAATAATATAAACTAATCACAAGTATTTATACATATATGTAAAATACTTTTCTATATTGTATATATAAATAAATTCATTAACTAAATTTTATGGCATTAATAGTTTTAATATAAATGAATTATCTAATGATTTAAAAATTATATTATAAAATTCGAAAAAATGAAAATGACATTTTTATATAATTCATTAACAAATTTAGAGATAATAAAAAATATTCAATATTATTTTTACATACATAATTTATGATTTCTTCATTAAAATTTCAATTGCACGGTAATGCACCATAAATTATCCAAAAACTGAATACTATAAATTACTTTTGATAATCATTATATTTTTTGATAGATTAGTAAAAAAGAATAATTTCTAGATATATTTCTATATACACATATTATCGTAGACAACTTAAAAATATAATTTTTAAGTTGTCTAAGACAATATTTTTATTTGAATTGAAATTAAATGGAGAATATCAGTCAGAAACTGTAACTGCCATTCAAAAATATTCAAATTCTGTACAGGAAAGAGAGAAAATTTTACTGCTTCTTATTCAATCAATGTATATTATCCTAAAAAAGTTGGTAAAGATTATAATAACGAAGTATAAGTAAGAATAATGAATATCAAGCGCATAATAGTTTAACAAAAAGAACAAATTAATTTTTATGATTAAAATTGTTGAAATTAAATTTTGTTGCTTGTATAATTTTTTTTGTTCAACACTATATATTTTTATAGCTTTAGTTTATTAAAGAATTGAAAATTGTATCATACAAATAAATATATAGTAAGTCGACAATTTTTAATGAAACATGAGTTGTGTACGTGTTAAATAAAATATTAAAATATGAAATCAAAATTTTTTTGAAGCCTCTTCCATCAACAATAACAATAAGTTATACTCACCATGATAATCACATCCGGCATAACCTCTTACAATAGTTCTTGAGAAATCATTTTTTCCTTTTTCTTTGACTTGGATCAAAATATATTTGAAATCACCATTGGGATCAATATCAACATCAGCAATATCTAGTATCTGAGACATCTTGGAGAAGCGAGTTATACTAATTTTAAGTACTGCAAGTAAACATTTTAATTATATATTACATTGATACATTGAATTATTTGATTATCTACTTTCATTAAGACACCACAAACATTTACTAATAGAAGAGTGTAATAACAATTAAACCAAGCTTCATTATTGAGTATAACCTATAAGTTCCCGTAAACTTAGATTCAACAAGTTACTAAAATTCACTAATAGTATACAACATTGTAAAATTTTTTAATTAAACATTGATTAATAATTAAATCTAAGTTTGACAACAAATTAAACAATTTTTATACTCAATATACCTTGCCGTGCACTCTGCCAGATATAAAGCATTAAACACACAGTGAAACTCCGTGGTACATATATGTACATACATACATACATATGTAGCTATCGACAACACGGAACCGAGCCGCTTACTTTTAGACAGTCGTAACGAATAAAATGTGAAAAAGTACAGGTAATGTTGGATATACTTATACATATATTTGTATGACGCTCTATGATTTGTGTGTGCAATAATAGCTAATATATCATGCAAAATGATCTAGTAATAGCATTACAAATATTTACATCAGATTAGCACGTGTGGAAATTATCTGGAAAGAAGTCGCTGTAATCAGTAAGACGAGCAGAAAGCACGTTCCAGGGCGCTGGACCCAGTCAATCAAATAAAAAGAAAATTATTTTTTGCGAAAAAATAGAATATTTTGAATAGAAAAATCAAGTATTATATGTAATCTTTTTGATTGATATTTAACATTATCACATACATTTTTGTTGTAGGTAACTAAATAGTTAGTTTATTAATTAAGTTACCAATTAATTGGTTGATAATATTTATGAATTCAAAACAACAGTTATGAGCAGGTTACGAAAGGATCCTAAATTAGTCTGGAATATATTGAATGGTGTATTTTTGGTGTACAAACCACCTAATATTCATTATCTTAATGTTAGAGATACTATAATACAGAATTTATGTAGAGGTAAATATAATTATATTGTAAAACATTCAGTAAGTTTTTTTATAAGTGTAATAATTTAAATATCTACTTATTTATTTTCTAGATTTAAATGCAATAAAAGAACGTCCTCTCATGAAACATGTTTCTATCGAGGGGGCAACAAATGAAGTAATGCAAGTTGTTGTAAGTGACAGTTATGCGCATCATCCACTAGTCACTGGACCACAATATATCCCTGATGATTTTAAATGTGCAACAGCCAACTCGTTGACGCAAGAGACATCGGGTATACTAGTTTGTGGAATTAATGCTGGAACAAGACTTTGTTATCAGCTAAAATTAGCCAGAGTCACAAGATTCTATAGAGTAAAAGGTATTCTTGGTCAAGCAAGAGAGAATGATTTTGCGACAGGAAAAATTCTTGAAAAATCTTTATGGAAAGGAATAAAAAGGTTTTACATTGATCGTATATGTGCATCAATACAAGCATCGCATCAAAAGAAAATGTTTGAGTATGTAAATTGTTAGCCAATAGTTTCTATTCAAAATTTCTTTTTTATTCAATATAAAATTATATTTGCGTAGGCTTTGTGGAATAGACATACAGAGTCAAGCAGCGTATGACCTAGCTGTTCAAGGTCTAATCAGACCTGCAAATCCTAAAATTCCTATGATCTATACAATTAAATGTGTTGATTTTCAACCACCAGAATTCACACTAGGTTAGCACATTTTTTTCATTTCATCATATAATAACTAAGATTTAGTTTACGATAAATTATTCATTTTCTTTTCAAGAAATTGTGTGTATAAATGAAGAAGATAATTACTTAAAATCTTTAGCAGCAGAAGTGGGCTACAAACTTAAAAGTACAGCTTATTGTAGCTACATTCAATGCACACAATTCGGTATGTTTAATGTTAAAGATGCATTATTGTCCAAACATTGGGATCTGCAGAATATCTTGGATAATATCGACTCATGTCACAAGATTCTTGAAAAACATCCATACATGCTTAAACAAGAGCATGCCCATCTTGTTGCTCAATCTAACTGAGCAATAACCTTTTTTAACAACAAAATTGTACATGAGATTTTGTAAAATAACATTTTATCTTTGAAAATACCAAATAAAAATTTTTATTAACATTATTTTGGTGATATACAAGATGCAGGTCTTTCTAAACTATATCCATCGCTCATCTCAGCCGGAGATCTCTTAGAAGTACTAATTGCATTTATGGCTAGTATTCAGTGTCAAAAGAATCAACAATAAAACGATTATCTCGATTGTTCTCGTTTAAGCATTGTTCAATTCAATACTACGACGGTACAACTTCGAATCAATTCATTTTCATATGACTTGATCAAATTCAACTGGATCTTATTAAAAAAGTGGTATAATCTATTATTTCTTCAACTTTTTCTCTGAAGGCGAGTTTTTTTTTTCTGTACTATCTGTTTCGCTACTGCTCGAACTTTTCGATCTTCGGCGTTTTTTTGGACTATCTCTACTATTTTCGTCTTGTGCCACAACATTCTCAACGCTCATTGAGATAGATCCATTTAAACTAAGATTTTGCTCAACGCTCTTTTCTCTTGAGCTACTGCTACTGCATTTGTTTAAGCGTCGTCGGTCATTGCTATCATAGCGTTCTCGTGAACGACTTTCACGTTTGTCGCGCTCACGACTGCGACTACGACGTTTCCGACGATCGTTGTCCAAATCTTCTTGATTACGATCTTCACGTCTACATGGCGTTACAGGCCATGCATATTTTCTTTCACCTTGGGACCAATTCTGCATCTTCATACTTTTGGCTATCACGCGCTTTTGATGATCCAGTTGCGGGAACAAATCTGTAATGAAACAATACAATGTTATCTAGTAATATTCGTTTTCAATCGATAATTTTTTTTTTCATCAAAAATACATAAATATACCTTGAGAGTTCTCCAGAGCTTCTTTAGCCGAATTCATTTCCGCTTCTTGAATACTGTGACCATATGCCTTTGCCAATCTTTTTCCTTGAAAGTACACAGCAACGGTATAAACACGTGTATTCGTAGGACCTTTACATTCTATAACTCTGCAAGAAAAAATCACCAGATCTTAGTAAACATTATTTGAACACGTTGAATAAAATATATAGATAAATTATTAAAAATAAACTCGTACTTGTACATAGGTATGTCGGGCTCGCCTCCATCCATACTACGAAGAGTCAAACAGCACTGCTGTAACTTGCTCTTCGGATCGTTCCAATCTTGATTCATAATGAAGTCCTGTAGTCGCGGGAAAAAGCACACATTGCAAAATACTTGGCAAAAGTTCAAACCCTTGTCAACGTATAAAGCTCCCAAAAATGCTTCCAACAAATCAGCTCTGTCTTTGGTTTTCAAATCGGCCTTGGGATTACCGTAGAGTGCGTATTGTGTCATACCCAAATCATCACATACTACTGCTTGCGTCTTATTGTTGACCAGTGAACTTCGTAATAGCTGTGAATTCAAATGACAAACACCTGCATTACGTCGCCGATCTATTTTTACAATGGTTAATGGTATATCGGAATTAATAATAACTTACAGACAAGTGTCCTTCATGATGCTCAGGAAAAAATTTGTACAAGTACTCCGATACTATCAACTGCAATACTGTATCACCAAGAAACTCTAGACGTTGATTTGAACCAAGCGTTAAGTTCGTAAAGCCTATACTTCGATCAGTAAATGCTCTGGCAAGTAGACGAATGTGCGTGAATTCCACCCCAATTGAAACTTCAAACTTGGTTAATTTCTAAAACAAAGAATACTCACGTTAGCAAATGATATTTCGGATTAATTTTAGTTTGCGCAGAGTCAATTATACCTGAAGCAATTCAAAACTAGGTATCCATTGTCTATCTCCAGTAGGCTCTTGCTCTTGCAGTGGATGTTTCGGATAATTGACCCAGATATTCAACAAATCAGGCTCGTCTTTAAAAAGCGTCTCTCCGAACACGGCATCGGCAATCTTGATACCACCGTCGAGAAACAAAGCACCCATGAGAGCCTCAAAACAATTAGCCATCGCGTGTCGTAACTCCAAGTCGTGGCACAAATCACTACCGTGAGCATATAACATGTACTGCTCCAGGCAAAGTTTTTTCGCAAGCACAGCGAGATGTTGATTCTGAACAATCGCAGCTCTGTAAGTCGCTAAACCGCCTTCTTCGAGATCAGGAAATATGTGGAACAAATGGATGGAAGTAAGAAACTCGACAACGGCATCGCCGAGAAATTCCAACCGTTCGTTATGCGCTATTGACGACTCGGTTTCCTTCTTCGCGCCAAACCTCGACATTATGTTGATCAGGGTATTGATGCCTCTTTTCCTCGTGTTCATATAATGTATCCTACGATCGCCGTACTCTGGTTGTCTGATACCGCAATTGGTCAACGAGTTTCTCGCGTGATCTGGATTTGTACCGAAATTCTCTCTGTAACTCGGATGAGTCAAGGCTAGCTGCAGTAGATATCTATTCTTAAATTGATAGTTGAGCGACTTTTCAAGATTGTCCAGTGACTTATGAAAACGTAAGTGGCAAACGAGTACGGGAATTAACATGGCATGTTGCACGATATCACACATAATACCCGTGCGATAGAATCCTTCTGATGTGACGTCTACTGTAACGTCACGTTTCATCTTACTCTGAGTACGTAGCTCTTGCAATTTGTTCTCCTTTGCCTCGAGCTTGCGCTTATCTTCAAAGGTCGGCTTTGCCATGTTGGCTAAGAGATGGCGAAACTTTACATAATCACGCCATGCTTTTTGATAACTGTGGAATAACAAAACAATATAATAATAAATAATAGCTCCAGTTAAATTTAAAAAAAATGTCAACCTAATTAACAAGGAGATTTTTCAATTTTTGTCAGATATTTCGTAAAAAAATTAAAGACTTACTCGGTATTTCCAGCATAACTAAGTTGAGGTGGTCGAATACCAAAATGAACGATTTCTGGATGGGCAATGATGCCTGGAGGTCCTTCATCGGCTTGGCTCCTATCTAATTGATCTACTCGAACACTGCACGGTTTTTTACCAGGGTATGTTACGACCATACCCTTGACCTCATCGGCAAAATTCTGCCATTCAAATTGTGGCATCTCTACCAATTTTGGTAGCTCGTCAGGATCGATCAATAAATTACTACTTTTTATAAGATAACTCAACACTTCATTCATCGATAAAATCTCCTGCCCGTTGTCGGCTAAATCACGTACAAAACGCGGCATAAAATGAAACTGACCACAACCACTTTTATCCTGAGCAGCGCGCAAATCAAAATCTACTAATTCTAAAATTTCTTTGAATAAATAGTCCTCTAAAAAAAGTCATTACGTTTATTGAAAGTCATTGCAACATCGATGCACATAGATTCAAATAATTTGAAGTACTTACGAAAATAATCTAGTTCTTGTATCGTGAAGTTTTCCGGCATCTTTTCTTTGATATAAAGAATTGTGTACTCGATGTTGAATCGAATAACTTTACACGTTGGTAACTTAACTAGGGGGAAATGCGATAGCATGGAAAATCCTTCGAATATAAATTCGTGTTCATCGTGCTTTATAATCGTTGGAGTTTTCGTAAGAAAATTTGTAGGTGGGCTAATGGTTATGCGGTAATGATGCAGCTTATCAGCATTATTAGTGTTAGAATCACATTTTATTGTTGCCCCTTCGCCGGCATAAATGCCGTGCCTTATGCCGGATCTCCTTGACTTTGCACTACACCTACATAATGGTCCATCATTCATCTAAAATAACATATTCAATCGAGCATTATAAAAATTTTGCTGATATTTTAAGATCTGAATTCTATTTATAGTACCTCTCCTGGGTCATTGAACCAAAGTTCATCATGAAGCCTCTGGGGATGCTGCTTCTTAGCCATCAATTCTTCCATTGTTCTGTCTTCATCATCTGAATCTTCACTACTAGAAGAGGAACTATTGCAAGCTTCTGACTTGTGTCTGCACAAGCGAGCTCTCGTTTTTCTTGGGGGTGGTTCATATGGAGGCTGCAAGCAATATTTTATTCAAATAATTCTATATTTAGAAACTAAATTTTCAAGTAATAAAATTAATGTTTATATCTTACTTGTTGTGCTCTGGCAACTTCTGACCTTTCTAGAAGTATTGTTTTAAAATCACTACAAAGATTTAACAGTTTCTTAGTACCTCTCATTAATTTGTGGTTTTTATCATCTCTAGTATAATATAAATCAGCTGGAGCAGTTCTTGTCCAAATTTTTTTTTCCAAATTTCCAGTATTCTGCAACTCATAGAGCCTTTTTTTAATATCATCACTGGTTGCACAATAATTTTTTCTGAAATACACAAGAGAACATTATTATAAATAACAATATTGAGATAATGTAAGTTTGTAAATTGCAAAAAATGCTACTTTACCTATACTTTTCTAAGAGTAGTTCTCTTTCTGTGGGAGGTTTACGCTTTGGCAAGTGATTACTCCTAGTTGAAATAGATTTACGAGACTCCACTGATCTAGATCTTCTTCTGCTTCTACTCCTGCTGGTGGACCTTCTGCTTCTATTTCGACTATTAGATCTTTCACGTCTCGATGAATAATTATTGAAATTGTTGAAATAACTTTTCCTATCTGAACTTCTGCTTCTTCTTTTGTATGAGCGATCTCTTGAGTCTCTTCTCTCTCTACTTCTGTCTCTATCTCTATGATGACTCGTACTTTTATCATACTTTCTTCTACTAGAATACTTGGAAGAATAAGATCTACCATCAGGACTCTTGGAACAACGCTGACCGTTATTTAAAGGCTTATATTTTACCGTAGATGAATCTTGAAATTTTTTATCGATATAATTTGTTTGAGATGACCAAGATGAGTTTTTAATTGGCCAATAAAGATTTTCAGTCTTTTTTTCCGATGAATATGGACATTTAGGATAGCTGTAATTGTATGTAGTTGGTTGTGTTTGAGCATAAGTTGAAGTACAATAGTTCTGGCTATCGTGATTTGCAGCTTGACTTGGGTATGTATAATTAGGATATATTACACCATTAGAGTATGGAGCAGTAGGAGAAGAAGCAGTTGGAGGAGGAACAATTGGTGGAGGAACTGAAAAGTAGGACATTGGAGGATATGTTCCATAATTAGGAGGTGGAATAGTAAAGGACGATGGTGTTATGGTGGGCGGTGGTAATGGTGGTGGTGGAACAGCTGGTGGAACATAATTAGGGGCTTGACTATGATAGTATTGATAATTTTCCAATTGTAAAGAATCTGCTGACCAATTGTATGCGAAAGTGCCATTAGAAAGAGATTTGTCTTCCATTTCATATGAAATGGCTAATCATGAATGTTACCCCTGCAAAATTTATAGTATATTTTATATTACAAAACCTTAAAGTTATGTAGTTATCGATAAATTATATTTTTAAGTTTTATCAGAAAATTCAAATTACTGTAAAACAGCGGAATTGTATAACAAATGAAGGTTATATCATAGATACATTATTTTGAACTAAAAAATTTATTTATCAAAATATTGATATTTCATAAAATTGGTGGATTCTATTACATACTAAATGACAAATCCAACAAATAATGAAATTAGAACTTACCAAAAATATCATTTATTTCCTATGATCTGACAATCTAATTGTTATATGAGACTCATTGTTAAGATATTTGTTTTCGTTTTTATCCTTAACAATGGATAGAATATTCCATATTCAGAACGTAACTACTATCAAATTTCATTCATTGATATCGCTTCATATATACATATATAGATAGATATACATATATATATATATATATATATATAATGGGAATTTTCTTCCTCAAGTTTTCATTTATTTATTAATACTAAGTACCATCCGCACAGTATCAGAACACACGCCTGACGCTTAGCTGTAAAAGCAGCTAAGAAGAGCTCTACCTAAACTCTAAGTCGATTGTTTACTGCAGCTGACGACGAAGATATATTGAGAAAAAACATGCTTCATGTTTCTTTCTACATTTATTTTTACTTGTTGGTAAAAATTATTATAATTTTGTTTATAATTTAAATAAACTTTAAAGTATAAGAATATTTGTAAAAAACCATCCTATTACCTAATTGTTCGAAAGCTATGTTTTAAATAAATAATACTAAACGGCCTTGTTAAAGTAGATGGCGCAGGTAGTCAAACATTACTACACGCTTATGATTGGACAATCATCTGAATTAACCAATCACAGGCAAGCATTCAGCTCGAACAGACTTTGCTGTGTGTAGTGTACGTTCTATGGGCCATGGCTTGCTTATCGGGTCAAGAATAAATCCCCCATATGTGACTATAGGACGTGACGTACAGCTTAGTAGGTTATGCTATGCAAGCAACACACATACAGGTTGCAGATTACGGTGTTATTTTTTCGAAAAACTTATTTTGTTAGAATATTTATTGATTGTAATTAGCTTCATAGTTTAACGAATATGCCTGCAAGTACGATGCATAAAATTGTTACATTCCTGGGATTCGTCTCCATATTTCATGCAGCTTACTCGGCGGTGCAACGTAAGTGTCATCTGACAGTATTATACACTCCAAAACATTCTTGCTTTTATTAGTAAAAATTTTCCATCGATTTTATCAGCTATTAATAATAATGTATTTGGTTTCTACAGATCGCTCTTACTTAAGAATAACAGAACAAGAATTTACAACATTACCAATTGATGTAAGTTTACTCAACTGAAATATTGACATAAAAAAAATCAATAATTGTGAAAATCTTATACTTAATTTATTATGAAAATATATTACTGTTTGTAATACTTCTATAACATTAAGAATTATATTTTTTTAATTTTTAGATAATTTTGCAAGGAATTGTTAGCTTATTTGTAGTTATGTATGGAGTAATGCACATAGCAGGAGATTTCAAGGAAATAAGAGCTGTTGTTGATTTAGAAAATAAGACGTGGGAAACATTGCGCAACCTACCATCATTTCAAATTTTCAATCACCGAGGAAGATCTCTATCCCCCGAATTCCTAGCAGATATTGACAAAAAAGATAGGAGAAACAAACGTTAATGATAAATTATTTTTTGTTTTCACCAGATGAACTTTAGCCAATTGTTACTGAATAAGTGATTGATTATAGAATCTTAATTGAATAAGTGAGATAGAATTGTACTTTTGTCAATTTTTATATTGAAAAAGTGCTATACAACTCTATGTACTGTTATATGTGAATTTCTGAAGTATGTCTGTAAAGTCAGTTTATTACAAAGTCTTAAAATAAATTTTTATCTCGTCATTAACTTACTGTGCTATGTATTATTTATACTATTGGCAGAAGGAAGTATCGAATTATAACAATTAAATTTTATAAATTTCAGACAGTTTTTTTTATTTTTAATATGAAAAAATTACTTTTATACTTGCATCCCTGGTCACAGGCATATTGACATGTTTCATAATGATGCAGAGCATAATTGTTAGGTCTTGGTTTTTTGACCCCTTTTATCCTTCACATTTTAACTTCAGCAAAAATTAAAAATCTATTAATACATTTTGTTTAATAAAAATGTGATCACTTTTTTTGCTTTTTCTTCTCTGCTTCAGCTTCTTTTTCTTTTTCAATTTCAGCAACATACTCCCCAATCGTATCAGAATCAAGCATCTTAAATGAATTATTCATTATTATAAAATGCTCATGACCATCTGTTTTATATTTTATTTAACTTACTTGCATAGGTTGTCCCCTGTGCATGACTGCAATCTCCAGATTTTTTTGACCAGATTGAACTACTTCAAGAAGTGCTTTGATTGCTAATTTGATTGTACCTTTGTCAGTAGAAACTTCTTCAGGAGTGTAATATTTTTCTAAAAATTCTTTCACTGTTTTAGCATTACGACCTGTTGCATTGGCCTATGAAATATTAATAATTGAGTTGATAGTCAATTTAAAAAAGGTAACTATATGTAATATGCATAAATACCTTCCATTCATAATAAATACCAGATGGTTCTGTTTGATACAAATGAGGAACACCATCATAATCAAAACCAGCTATCAAGCACGAAATGCCAAAGGGTCTCCTACCATTACTCTGTGTATATTTTTGTTTTAGACCTGTTAATACATTCGATAAATGTCTACTTTGATTTGTTAATTTATACAAACTAAGTCAATTTATTATTTACTTACTTGCCATGTACCTAGTGATATATTCTAATGTGACTGGATCCTCAACAGTTAGTTTGTGACTTTGACATTCTATTTGTGCACGATTGATTAGTACCCTAGCATCAGCAGTAAGTCCAGCAAAAGCCATAACAACATGATCATCCAGTAGACATATTTTACGGACAGTACGTTCTTCTTGAAGTTTTGCAACAGACTTTTTCTCTACACCAAGTACCACAACATCTGATCCACGAACTCCAACCTATTAGAAAATAAAATTGTATAAATACTTGGCTACTCTATAGTAATACAAATATCGCACTTTAACACATTACAAAGCATGATGAAGCAAAATAATTATTAGTTCTTGGAAAAATCTTTAAAAAATGGTAAAGAGAGATTATTACTTGTGTTTTCTATTGTAAATTTGAAATTTTAAAACTAGGAAGTTATAAATAAGAGGAACTTGATATATAAATTTCGGTATAGAGCGCGAGGTTAAAATGAGTTTTTGCGACATACCGCTGTGGATCCCTTCTTCACAGCTTCCTGGGCATACTCGACTTGAAGCAGATGACCATCCGGAGAAAATACTGTGATAGCTCGATCGTACTGTGCCATTGTCAAAATGTAAATTCACTTCTAAACTATCTCGATACTGAAAATGACTCCGCCGTTTTTCCGGATCAACAGCAGCACACACTAGGAGGATTAGACTAGGACGAGTTCGGTTCCGTACTCATTCTAGCCAACTTAACGACAAAATGACAAAGCAATTTCACATATTAATATTTCATATTAATATTTCATATTTCAAAATTTATGGCAATAAGAGTGATATAATTTTTATTTGAAAAATTTGTTCTGTAAACTAAAACTTTTAATTTTTCTAAACTAATGAATACAATTTTTATTTATTTTTAATATGTTGCCTACATTTACGGTGGTTCGTTTAAATGCAAGATTCGAAGTGATCACTAGTAAATTTATGATACTCTATCATTATCTACTGGCCTACTGCTCTCTAGAAACTCAAATTTCTTAATAAACTGATATTTTTTAAATACAAATAATAATATACAAATATTAACTTCGATGAAGTTTTACCATTCAAAACTCAAATAACAAAATTATAATAATATAAGTGATTTTGTGATAAAAATGTCGAAAAGTTTTTATTTTTAACGCGTGTAAATAGTGATTAAATAAACGTTTTCGGGAATTTTGTCAAACTATATCTGTTTCTACTTTGCAATATTTCATTTCAAAACAATATCTTATATATTGAGATTTCTTTTAGTTATATCTAAGACTCATTAACTTACCATTTTTTTATCCTCTTATAATATTATACAATGCCTATATCAGTTTAAACAATCAATATTTAACGATCTATATCTAAAACTATATAGATATACTGTTGATTATGTAACTGAAAAAAATGAGTCAAATAATTTTCACATTTGATATAATTTTAAGAAAATATTGGCCCTGCATAACGATAAACTGAATGTTTTAATCTAAATAATAATCGATTACTAATATTTGATTTTTTATAATAATTTTCTGTTTTATCTTTTAGATTTTTTATTTTTTATCTTTTAGAGTTGACATTTTATATTTAGTTTGAAATAATTTTCGTACCATCCTATAAATAAAAGTTGATATAAACTTTTGTTACAAATAAAATGTACGTTTTGAAATATAGCTGAAGTTGGATAAATTTTCTACGAATAATACTCACTTAATCAACTATTAATAGCAATGACAAAAGAAAAAAACACTTCTTGATCAAAACTTTATAATTCCAAAAAAGATCATAATTCGTACAAACGATTTTTTGCCTACATCATCCTCACATGCCTGACTTCAAATGTGCAATGTATATTTTTATTTTTATTGTAAGCTTAGTAAATGATAAAGATTGTTTCGCGCTTATATTCCCCACTTTCGCCCATCTGTAATGTTATACGTAGATACCGTATTACGTATAAACCAGCAGTCTGGTGGGGATTGAAAATTCTCGAGACAGCGCGCAGGTTTTCTATCGTTGAAGATTAGTCAAGATTGCGCTTTGAATGGGACCAGTGTTACCGATCGTACTTTGGCTCAATCATGATCAGGTTGGTACATTTACCACTACTATGTATTTAATATGAAAATATGGTATCGTTTCAAATAACATATCTATCGTCCATTGTGCGCAAAGATAAATTAAAAACAAAAAAAAAAGAAACCGAGTGTAACTGATTAATGACAAGTTCAATGTTAATGAGAGTATATTTTACGATAAGATAATTGTTTATATGTTTACTTTACGAGTTGCGAAAAAAGAAACGGGCTTGCAGATTTTATTTATGTTGAAACAATACGTATATTTTTATCACATTACATTCATCTATAACTGTACGTATGAAAACAAAGTATCTAAATGCTACAAATGAATTTTTATGAATTTATGTGCCCTTCGAAATTTTATTCAAGTACAATAAGCTTATGAAATTATTGGTGGAAATGGCAAGTGTCATTTACATTACATTTTTTTATCGTACAAATCTGTAATCATATTCAATTATATTATCAATCTAATATCTCTGTAAGAAATTACACGCGAAATTGCAGCACAGGTCACTTATAATTGAAAACGAGATTGCTTGTCAAGATCAACTAAAGATTTTACCGACATTGTTTGAAATACTTTAAGTGTTCACCTGCCATCTGTACCAATAGAAACTATAAATGTCTTAAGATTAGTATAGTGTGGTTGCGATACTAATGTCACACTTGAATAACTTTTTTCAATTGTGAAGCTTACATTGTCACCATAAGACTTACAATGTTACCATTTTCTTCCGATAATAATGATTGTACTTAATTTGATTCTCTTTTATTCTCATTTCTATAGATATTATGCCGAACTAATAGATATTCATGAAACTGATGACGAACGATTTGCGCGTAGCCGCGTTTCTTATTTTTCAAGCATTCCTAGCTTTAATTTTATGAAAGTTAACGTGCTTTCAAAATATATACGCAATCGTAAACAATAAATATTAATTGTCTGAAAGATAATATCTTAGGCCATTTGAAATACAATTTTATTGTTGTGCATTTTATTGTCAAACATCAGACGGAAAATCAAATGCGAAAATACCTACATTGAATTATAAATGCTGTTTGCGTTGCGCTTTGGAAGTGATTGTGATTTTGAGCCGCACTTTAGAAGCATATCTAATATTTGTTTATTTTAGTTTGAATTTTTTATTCAACATTCTGATGATTTCATAGCAGTAATAGACTAATAATTATGCAGTTGACACATCGTTAGAAAAGATTAATGTTTAATATATCTAATTTTGTTGCGTGGATATATATGCTGAGTTCCAAATTCACGAATGCATTCGACGTTTATACGTATTTCGTGAAAGCATTTGACGTAATACGAAGGCAATAAAAATAAAACTTTCTTGTGTCAACGAAACAGCGAAGTTGTAAAAGGTATCTAAGACTCGATTGATAAATAAAGTATAAAAATTTTTTCTTGGTTTATAGATTAATATTATTGAGGCATATTTAATGTATATTCATATTCTATTGATTGATTAAATGATAAACAAGCTTATTTTAAGCCCATGAAGTTTATCGAGAAACAATCTATCTTAAAATTCTTCCAAACAAATCCCAGAAGGATTTTGGGGATATAAAAAAGGAAAAAAATATATAATCGTTGTTTTTTTTTATGTATTATTATTATTATTATTATTTGTAAAAGTCAATTGAATTATAGCTTTCTATTAAATAGAGGTCAGCATATAAAAAATTACGCAAAATTGGCATTGCACAACGTATACAATTATAGATATTTCAACAGTATATTAATTTGAAAATAGTTTCACGTAGTAAAAGCAACGATTTTTTCATTATACATTATAAGCTAAACGTGCTTCTTTTAATAAGTCGCACTGATATGATATTTGATATCAAAGAATTTTATAGTATGTGCTTTAATAAAGCTAAAATAAAGTTTCTTCTTCATGAAAACTAAGTATTTTGGTTAAAAAGTAGAACTCACGACATTTGTGTCAATGGAACCAATTTTCATGCAACCTTGAATTTTATTACTGCACGCGAGAAAACTAATTGTTACCAACTATGTAGTATCGAAAAAATATATCTATACACTCTACTCATGCGTGTATATAGTTGACACAGAAAAATTCATTACTTTGCAGTGAAGTAAAAATAATAAAACTTTAACCACAGTAATAAAGTATAATTTATTGTTGAAAGGACACATTGTACGAAAATACTAATAGCACAAATCATTATCACGATGGTATCATGTCAAGGATAGTATTACTTAAGAGATTAATTATCTTGGCGATTGATCAAATAAGGACTACAATTAGTAGACATTAACACTTTTCTTTATCATAATAAATTATATCTTTAATATTAATCAAATTTCTTACAGTTTGAATAATATAATACTTCTGTGACATCTTTATTATATCTTTGAACTTTGAAAATAATCATAAACAACCAAAAAACTATACTTATTGTAGAATAATTAAATTATTATTATAATCCTGTCAACTCATTATATTAAAAACTCTCGTTTTATAATTGTTCTTAACAAGATTTGTTCAATCAGGTCGAACAAGTTTAGAAAATTTGTAACCAGCAGTAATTTTCTTGATCGTGATCTATGTTACGTTAGACTTATGTAAAATGGCGTTTCATTTTTAATTTTTTTAAATTATAATTTTTTTTGTTTTTTCTGCGGTAGCTTAATTTGAAATAATTCAAACCATAAGTCGTATAATAAATGATCACATCCACTTTAGCTCATAAAGATCACGTTTCCCAATTCGCATAAAATTATATGTACCTATATACAAGATATAAATGACATAAGATAAACCATTGTTATGAATTAAATTAAATATAATCAGCTTATTATTTATGAAACATTTTATTTCAGGCTATACGAAAAAAAAGTCTTGATCGGTGCAGGTGTACTTGTCCTACTAGCCATAATTGTTATTGTGGCAGTATATTTTGCTACTTCGCGTGAATCTAATACAATGGATGACTCCAAATTCATAAGTGACTCGTACCTTGGTATTTACAAAACGGTAGTTTTAACTAATCTTTTTTAATGTTACTCGTGTTACCTAATGTTACTAAATTCAGGATAAGTGCAATTTTCATAATTATACGCAATCCACATAAACTTGTTTCAGGCTGCAGTAGTAACAAATGGTCCGGAATGCGCCAAAATAGGATCCGATATATTAGAGCACAAAAATGGCACGGCAGTTGATGCAGCAATCGCAGCGCTTCTATGCGAAGGAATTGCCTCTTTACACAGGTATGCAGCATATTTCATTGCGTCAATCACTGTTTTTTATTTGCAAAATAATCGAGGTTAATCGCAAAGAAACCGGAGTTTTTATCAAAGAGATCCGTAGTCAATGATGCCTGAAGAATCGTCGAGTTATTGCTTACTTTGAAAAAAATACTATTTTTATCTTTAATTTTCAGTATGGGTCTTGGCGGAGGATTTCTGATGACCATTTACGATGCAAAAACTCAAAAAGCTACGTTTTTGGACGCGAGAGAAACAGCACCGAAATTGGCTAATGAAACCATGTTCGGTGGTAATGCCACCTTATCTTTCGCAGGTATACAACGTACAATCTTCGATGCATTAAAATATAATCTCCATATAGGATAATAAAATTAACTAAATAAATTGAAACTAATAGGAGGATTATCCGTTGCTGTACCAGGAGAACTCATGGGTTACTGGGAAGTTCATCAAAAATACGGACGAGTCCCGTGGAAAGATTTATTTGAACCGGCTATAAAATTATGTGAAAATGGTAATATAATTAATAAGTACCTTTACAACAGTCTCAAGGGTAAAGAAAAATATATTAGAGAGGAGGAAACGTTGAGAGAAATTTTGATAAACAGTGAGACGAATATGTTGTACGCGGTAAGAAAACTTTTAATTTCTCTAAGCCTAATGTTTAGTCGTGGTACAACATTTTTCTTTTTTACTTTGAATAGACATTGTTATTTAGGAAGGTGAACTAATAAAAAGACCAAAACTGGCAGAAACTTTGAGAAAATTAGCAAATGCTCCAAATCCAGTTGATCTTTTCTACAAAGGGGATATGGCCAAGCAACTTGTCGCCGAGATAAAAGGCTTCAAAGGAATCATTACTGAAGAAGATTTTGCCAATTATAAGTAAGTTTTCTAAACATAAAGTGTGATATTACGGAACTGAATGTTTTAATTAAACATTCATTTTACTAAATTTAAGAGTACAGTGGAGGGAACCTACAGTAGCGAAACTTGGGAAAATAACCATGTACTCGGCACCACCTCCTGGCTCAGGTGTTCTCCTTACATTTATGCTCAATGTCCTTGAAAAACTCCTACCAGCCAACGATACGAATATTTTGTGGCAACGAATCATCGAGACTTTCAAATGGGCTTACGCTAAACGTACACTACTGGGTGATCCAGCTTTTGAAAACATAAGTAAACAAAAAAAAGTTTTTAAGTTTATTTTATTGTTCAAGAATTCATAAATTAATACGTTGATATTACTTTTAGCGGAAGTTATAGCTAATTTAACATCGAAGGAGTATGCTGATAAAATAAGGTTGAAAATCAAAGACAATAAAACATACCAAGATCCAAAATTTTACGGAGCTAATACGACGAATAGAGAGACTCATGGTACAGCGCATGTATCAGTATTAGCTCCTGATGGTTCTGCAGTTTCAGTCACATCTACAATAAATCAAGTGTAAGTTACATTTGTTTATGATCCAATGAATAAAATGTAAATCGATTTTTGTAATAACAGATTGGGCGCTAAAATACGGTCGAAGTCGACTGGTATCATATTCAACGATGAAATGGACGATTTTAGCGCCCCAAATATCACGAATGCATTTGATGTACCACCTTCACCAGCAAATTTTATTAAACCTAATAAAAGACCATTGAGTTCGATGTCACCTACTATATTGGTAAATACTATAATGTATAACTTGGTATTTTTTTTAAACTGTAGTCGTTGTGAAAACTATACTCCATCCTCTTTAAAACAATATCTGAACTATCATCTTTCAAATTTTTATATTTTGGTATATCTAGCTTATGTTGAACCTTGTTTGCTCAATAATAAATTTTATTTACGCACACTAAAAAAATATGTATTTTAATTTTTTGTACAAGGTGGATGAAGACAACAAGGTAAAACTAGTCATTGGCGCTGCTGGTGGAACAAAAATTACAACAGCAGTGGCTTCAATTATCGTCTTACATTTATGGAACGGTTATAACATTAAAGAAGCTATTGACACTCATAGGCTTCACCATCAAGTTAGTGGAAACATCACAAATTATAACGAAACCAACATCTAATGAGACTAAATAATACTTTTTTTCAGCTGTTTCCTATGGTAATTCAAAATGAAAAAAATTTTCCTCAAAGCGTTCTGCAATATTTGCATAATATCGGTCACAACGTAACCACTTTTTCTGGAATTGGAAGTGCAGTCACTGGTATTTCAAATAATAATGGACAAATAATGGCCAATTCCGACTACAGACGACTAGGAAGAACAGCAGGGTTCTGAAATTGTTGAGAAATGTTTGTTTGAAATATTTCTAGTAAATCAAGTTCCTATTTGCTTGATCTCAGTACGAAATATTCGATTGTGGTGTAGCAAAGAAAAATATTCTTAATTGTGCCTAAGTGATATTAATTGATAGACCGGTATCAGTTTGAATATTGTTATCACCACAACTATTAAATTTGTATTGAACAATATCCATTTGTTATCATAATCACCAATGGGATATGATACATTTTAAATCTATTCACTCGATACAAGTATTACGTTACTGTAGACGTAGCAATATGTTTATATGAATACTAATTTTACAACACTCACTTGCCTGGTCTGAACCATACTGTATATATGTATACAGGGTGGTTTCAACAACCCTGTATATATGTATACAGGGTGGTTTCAACAACCCTTATACTTCTTCCAAAATTAAAAAATACGCAAATGATGCAAAAAAAATGGCTCATTGTTGCTGTATGGCTGTCACTGGAATCGATAAAAAACTACGCAATTATGCATTTTCTAAAATGACCAGTAAAAAATTCAATCACAACAATCAATTGAGTGTATGTATAGGTTTTCAAATAGCGGAAACTTATCTGCCTAAACATTCTTTATTACATTTTCATCATTTCCAAAAAATATACTATAAAAATAATATAGAGATTATTGAAATAATGAGAGATTAGGGAAAAACGAAATTTTCAAACACTCTATGGGTAGTCTAGCCGGGAAATTTTTTCATGTATAAGTGTGTTCACAACGGTATTGGACATTTATTCGGAACAACGTGCAGCCTCAAATCAGTACGTAAAATTTTGAAGGCTATTATCAAAGTCATCGTTCAAGCATACACCTACATTTCTATTAGAATTTGCTACTTTTCTTTCTTCAAATTCATTAAATAAAATTTACAAATCCAATTGTAACTAAGATTTTTTAATCCGAATACATTTATTGTTACATACTTTTTGAAAGGTGGAAAAGATCGTGTGAATTATTATCTACCAAATATATAATCATTAAGTTATTGTTGTTACGATATACGATATTTGATAGATATTATGCACCAGCAGATATTGAAGAAGCGAATACGAAAGCGTAAACACTGCTTTTTAACGACTCTGAAAAAGGGGATATAAGATTAACTAATATTGAAGAGTTGAAGATTGTAAATAAATGTATCAATGAAAATCAATTTTAATAGAGTATTTTAAAATTGTTCTGATTGTAAACACAGGCGAATTTACATTGCTTAGCTTAGTGGTACGTAAAACCAAAGAAAAAACTTTCATAATATAGTAAATAAACGTTTCTTCAATTTATTGATGTAGTCTAAAGAGCATGTAAAATTTACAATGTAATGAGTATGCAAATTTGATATCAAATACATTATTACTAATAAAATACATACCTAAATGGAGTACAGTGTTTTAGCATGAATTATGTGTAATATCCCCAATAACATAAAAACGCTTTGAAAACGTTTTGGAAACGTTTTTTAAAAACTTCTAAACGCTTGTAGATTTGGTGAACAAAAGCGTTTTTAAGATGTTTTCAAAATATGAGATATGTCCATCTTGATAGAATATATGGATAGAAGAATATTCATGAAGATGTGTCGTACATTTTTGAATAAATGAACATCGTTTAAAAATTTTTTTCGTAAAGTACATCGATATCATCACTACAGACTTTTTAAGCTCAGTTTAGACAGCTTTCAGGAAATTAATGCTTTTGGCTTTGATCATAAATTATTAAAGAGATCTGTTCATGATTATTATAGTTTACACAGCATGTTCAGAAAAAGAGACCCTGAACAAATCGTATAAAGCCGCCACAGCGGCATATTCAGCAAAATCGCTAAATTTTCAGGTATAAAAAAATTTTGTATATTATAGATTTGTCCGGAGGTAAGTTGAACTGCTTTTCAGTCAGTGTCGGAAGCCGCTTCACAGTGACTTAATCAGCTCAAATAGATCGAGACCACGTTCAAATATTTAAGTTTCACTAGCGTATCACTAATTCATGTTAATTTTGCCTGGTATTTGCGATTTGCTTAACTTCTTTTACATACATTCTAATGCAATACATTTGGAATATACTTTAATGTTGATTATATTTTTTATCAAAGTCTCTCACATTGCATCTTACGTAGAATTTGACTCCGAAATCAGAATTAATTCATCACGTCAGGTTTTTTAGATATCCTAACCTAAAGTGTCAAAAAAGACGGTTTTTTTGGGATATTTACGATCTCGTAACATCGCGGAAAAATGTATTTTCTGTAAACGGGAAGAACTATCTAAAAGATAGGTCTGTGCTTACCTTTTAAAAGTCATTTTTAAGATTTGAGATACCTTTTTTTCATCAAGATGTCGTTGATTGAAACCATCAAGTATTTTAGCAGTTTCGAAACACGTAATTTTCCGGATACGCATATTTAGCAAATGCAAGACTATAACTCCATACCCTAATTGTCTTAACTCTCGAGTCCTGTAACCTGCAACGCTATAAACTCAAACCCTTACGTGTGATAACTCAAAACATTATAAAGCTGTGACTTCTCTTAAAGATGACTATGGTACCGAACTATTATTGATTTTAGCTCATGACGGTTCAGTAGTGTTGGTCACCAATAATGATCAATATATGATGTATGTATTTTAAAACAAAACTTTGCATTAATATTTAGATGGTATCACAAAAAATTCCGAAGTTTTAAAATTCTCTTATAATTAAAATATTATTTATAGAATTAAGGCCTCTTTTTACTCAAAGACTAAATTATTTTTTGTACAAAATTACATATATTTAGATTTAATAAAACTATAAAACTCTTCAGTAAATTAAGAATAGACCTCAAAATTGTATCTTGCAAACTTACAAGTAGAATCACTTACCATGGCTAAAAAAAATAAACCTTATCCTGATCATCTTAAACGGTAATAAAAGTTTGCTAGGATTTTAAATAACCAGTTTGTAATTTATAAAAAATTATAACAAATTTTTTTGTATATTCAATAAATAAGTACAGTTAAGTTATTTTACTAATAAACATGTGGAATTTTATAATAATAAACACATTATAAAATTTCACGAATCACTGTTACTTTCAGACAGTTCGGCTTCGTCTTTGATTTTCTTAGTAACTTTCTTCGTTTTCTTGACGCGACTCAATTTCGATTTGCGAAATACTTCTATCGCTTTGAGTTTCGACTTTAAAGCATTAACTTTGTCTTTCTCTCTCTGAGGAATGGTTTCATTGATGTGAGTCGTAATCTTCTTAGGCGCCTCTCGAGCATCACGATCGATAAACTTTTTTTTTCGCGTAGTTGTTATAGCCTGTTGCGACTCACTTATTTCAATAAATTCATCGTTTTCGACTGATTGATTCTCGTCATCATTCTCCTTCATCTCTGCAATAGGTGGTAACGTGCTTATTGACGGTTTCTCCGTATCACTTTTAGATTTCTTTCCCCGTGTAGCCATGATTTTTTTAATTCTCTTAGGTTTCTCTTTTTGAATTGGTGCAACTGACTCATCATCTGAAGAATCAGCATTCTGACTTTTACCACCTAATCTTTGAACAGCCGACTGCACTCTCTTACTTAAAGAAGATTCAATGGATTTTGGAATAGTTTGAACTTTGAAGTATGCGTCGATTCCTTTTTGACTCTTGCTTTCAGTAAATCTTTGCATCACGGGATTTATTATTTCATCAAACTTCAATTTTGTCCAACCAAATTTCTTTTTTACATAATCTGCCAGCAGAACTAGATTTGGTTTGCCCCAGGTAAATTCTTCTTTCGACTCATCGATCGTCGGGGCCAAGTACGCTTGCACAACTGCTTGGCTTGGAAACCCTTTGATTACATGTTAAACGTTAGGCTTGGAATTATATCATATCACTTAATAAAATAATATACGTTGCAATACCCTTTTCAATTTGTACATTTTTCAGTTTATTACGTAATGTGAGTTTGCTGGGTGCTGTCAATTTTCCAGACCTAAACCAAGCACAGAATGATCGCAACCCTCGTAAAATATCCTCTCCTTCACATGGAAAAGAAGCGATAATTTCTAAGGCTGTAACAGGACCAACACCAGCTAAGCCATTTGTATAATCACTGCCAACCAAAAGAGCTAATAATATCAACTCTTTTCTGCTCAACTCTGAAAACAATATTTTATCACGTTATTCAAAGACTAGCTACTATGTTGAGCATATAAAAATTCGAGTTATTTACTGAAGTGGTGCTCAATATCTTTTGATAAAAATTGCAATACTTTCTTATTATTATCAAAAAAATTTTTGTACACGCAATTTCCTCCAAATAACCATATGTCTGAGTCATCAGTTACCGTTCCGTCAGTCAATTTAATTTGTTCCAAATAAGCACACTGTGCTTCAGCTTCCATAGGAGCTACAATATAAGGTATACCAAATAAACGTAAAAGTTCTTGAGCTTCTAATCTCATTTGATCTGTTATATCTATTGCTTGTCTCTCCAATTTTCCAAGGCTTTCATTAATTTGTTTTTGTTCGGTTTCTAATTGTTCCTACATATACAACATATTGATAAGTCAATATCATAAACGCATTGAATTTTTCGAAAGGATGATGAAAAAATAATACCTTCATTGACTCAAGTTCCTTTTCATTGTTAGGTAGGACTAAAGGAGGTTCCTTGTTAACATGAATCACTTCTTGATCTTTATTATATTGTTCCTTTTCATCCGAGATTTCTTTCGTGTCGTATTTCAAAAAAGTTTCCGAATTATTCAAAATATTATCTGCATCAATATTTTCATCATTTTTATTTTCTTTGACACTTTCAATAATCTCGCTATTTATACTTTGCCCTTCATTTTCCGTCTGTATTGTGATGCTTTTTTTAGATTTATTTTCTGTAGAAATATTGTCAAATTCGGATTTATCTTGATCAACTTTAACTGAAGTGGTCTGATGAAACATTTTTTTGACTTCTAGTAATTCAATTGTAGGACTTAATGATACTAAATGATTACTTTTCCTTTCTTCCAAAAACAACAAATTCTCATTTTTAACATCAACAAAATCTTCTTTGTTGGTTGATTCGATGATAGAAATATCGTAAGATCTTTTAATTTCCCTGACTACAGGTTTATTTTCTGTCAAGTCATTTAATTTTTTGATTGTTTCTTCATCTGTGAATATATCAGCAAAAATATCATCTACTAACTTTTCTTCTGCTTTCACTGTTACTTCAAAGAAAGGTTTCTTTACATTAGTTGTATTAACGAGTTCTGGAATAGAAATATTTTGTACTTCAATAAAATCATTCGATTCTGAATCTGAAGATTCTGCAGCAAGTAATTTGTCAGGATCATTGATTTTCAGATCTGACTTTGAATCTGTAATTATTTCTGAGACTTCAACAAAGTCGTCAGATTCAGAATCAGATTTAGTGACGTTTGAAACTTTTGGTTCATTTGAAACTTCATTAAAGACATCAGATTCCGAACTAGATTCAATAATGTTTGATACTTCTTCCGGAACTTCTTTCATTATTTTAGGCGTTTCAATAGTATCAAATAATTTTTTTCTTTTGCCCTTACTATATGAAGAACGTCTTGATTTTATTTTTCGTTTTGACGACGCCTGAGAGCTTGTGGTATCAGATTTTTTTTTATTTTTCTTACTCTGTTCAACTATTTTGAGAATCTGTTCTTTACTTAGACCACTGTTTTCTAACATATAAGCTAAAGCAGGATTCATCACAGACTTAGGAATGACATTTTTAGGAAGTGTAGAAGACTCATTAAGAGTAGTTTCATTGAAACCGTCATCTGAAAGCCAATCTTCATCTAAATCATAAGCATAAATATTATCAACTTCTGGTATTGAAGTATCAGAGCAAATAGACCTTGAATCCATTAGAGCATTATTTTCTTGTTCTTTTGAATTTTTATTGGAATCATCACTGTTTTCATCAGAGCATGTGAAACCATTGGATTTTTCAGTATTATATGACAAAGGTTTCTCTAAAATATGAATATATGTTAGATTTTTTTACACGATTAATCATAAAAATAAATATAAATAATTTACCTTTCATGTAAATAACTCTGGTTGAACTATCAGCAGCTATTCGAAAAGCAGCATCTTGTTTTTGAGTCATATTAATACCTTGATCTGTTAAAAGTTGTTCTAGTTCTTCCAAAGTCAAAGTTTTCCCTCCCATTTCTTTTTCAGCAGTTTCAAGAGATTCTTGAACATTTCTTCGTTTCAACAAACGCTCAACTTGAAAACCAGAATATTTATTTGAGCCCTGAAATAGATCCATAATAATATACTTTTTTAAACATATTTTCAGGTAAAAAGTATTTCACTAACAGTTGGTAATTCATGAATCCGACCCCAAGAACTTTGTTTTCTTGTTTCTTTCAAGTCTGTCAGAATATCATATCTAACGTCTGCTGGTAAATTTTTAAATTCTTCAGTATTTATATTAACAGTGTGAATATTTCCCATCCATTTAGTCTGTTTACGAGGACTCAGGTTCAGCTGATCATCTTCATCAGACCTTATGTAATCATCAGAATCTGTAAATTGACTAGTACTAGGCATATCGGGTAGAAAGTACATATCAGGTATTTTAGAAGTGCCTGGTATAGCTTTTGGATCCTTGAAATGTTGGATTGTACTACTTTCTCCTTCATCGTTTCCTTTGTCAAGTGCTCCCTTCACTGCTGTGTGTTTTATCAGGTTGTTTATCAAATCATTCTTCAACTTTTGTGCTTTACTAGCTGCAATAGATTTTAGCTTCCTGCGTGTAGCCTGTGGACGTAAAAGAATGAGAGGATTCGGTTCCCACTACCTGATTCCCACGCTGAGCTAATTATGTCTTAGAGATATTATGAGCCAGATAGAGAAACAATATGAAGAACAACTACATTTCAATTTAAAAACATTTTTCAATAAAAAGGATTGAAATATCTATTAAACTTTACTAACAATTTGATTTATTTAAAAAGACTTCATTGCTGATAATTGGACTTACAATAGTATTCTTTTTCAATAGTGGTACACCTCCATCAAAAACAAATACTGGTTTGATTTTGAAATACATTAATTTGCAAATTCTATTGAATAAACCAATCAAATGGGCATTAGGTAAAGAATTGCCTCTTCGATCTTGATAGCCTTGTATTACTTGATGAATCCATATTGAAACATCTAAAAAAATAAATTTTTAATAATTATTAGTCTCGTAAGTGAAGAGTGATACAGTCAATATGAAATATATGAACGAATGTAAAATATTAGATATATACCAATAGCCAGCACTTTTCCTTCAAGAGTTTCTAATGGAACAGGCTTTCCTGTTGCATCAACTAGTCTCCAGAGTCCTATTACTCCCATGTTTTAATGAATACTTCCTATTAGTACAAAATAAATAAAAATATTCATGATTGCATAATATTTTGAAATTTCAGTACACGTTTGGTTTAAAATTATGAAGATTTTACGAATAAAAATTAACGATTTGAAATATTCGCTAGAATTTTCTGCGTAATAATAAATAATGAAAAATATCTATTTAAAAAAAAATGTAAGCTTAACCTTATAGTTTGTTTATTTCTTGAAATACATGCTACACCTTACGTCCTTACTAAAAATCTACAGAACGAAATATTTGAATTCACTTATCATCATCGACGTCACACTGAAAATTACCAAAAATAATGGTTTGAGCGTAAAAAATCAGCCAGGCAAACAAACAAGTATGGAGCCCCGCATAATAGATTTTGCGCGCTGCCAGAACGGATCAGCTGATCGAAGAGAATGGCATGATGCAGGGACCGGCAATATAGTTGGCGTTGGCGGCATGTTCCGTTCGATGATTTACGGCACGTACAATCACCGTGAGAAATCTCAGAAAAAAATTATCGATAAACCGGGCTGTTTGGAGTACACTTTTTCCCCAGGACGCTTCGCGAAATCAGACTGACAGCCTAATCTGGTGTGTTATTATTAATCGTAGATCGCTTTAGTTTATAAAGTCGGTATAATCGAAAATGTTAATAGGAACTTTAATTACATTTCAGCTTTTTTATTACGATAGATAGAAAGTCCAATCTAATATCATTTGAAAAAAACTCAGTGTATAAAAAGAGATAAAATCGAATTCGGAAGACTAAAAATAATTGATTATAGTGAAGCGATGTCTTACAAATGAATCTATAGACAAGTATTCAAACATATAGAGGCAAAATCTCACTCGTTGGCAAAAGCACACGCAACATAGAATATGAGCGCGCACACACAACACACAATATTTGCAGCACACAAGTTTAGAAATCAGCGAACCAAAGAACGGTAATAACGCTCGCACAGCAATCCATCCGTATCTAACAATTAACCTCGCGATAAAGCGGAGTTTAATACAAATATAAATCTATGAGAACCGATATCGACCAGTAACGCACAGAAAATAGTGCTAGCAACTTTTTCTTTCTCCCCTCGCCATCATCGTAGTCATCATGGTCGTTGTCTAAATAGAGTTTGAAAGCGTCGGTGGGAATTTTGGGGATTAATGTGGGGGGAGCGATATAGAAAGAATCTAAACACAATCTTTCTTTTCGGCCCTTTGTGTTCCATTCAGACTTCAATAGTCAATTTGTCCAATATATACTGAAATTTAACTGCCTAAGATATGTGAACGTTCGAAAAATTCTTGTATGTTTTTTCAACGTGTTCGTCTTCTATGTTTCCAGTTCGAAATCGACAAGCCCATTCCTGTCAAAGTTACACCGAAATAAACACCCTCGCTTCATTCTCGGAGCAAAAAAAAAACGAACGCCCCATAAAATCGAGCTCCGTTTTCCGACTCGCTTCTTTCCTACATTTTTCTCTTTGGCTCGCACACGCGTAGTGTGTGTATGTACGTAGCCCTGATAATTGAGCCTTGCAGCTCTCGCAGTACGTATCCTTAATTGGCCGTAAAAATAGAGCGCAGAGAGCTCGTTGGGTAATTAAGAGCTTCGATGGCCCGTCTCTTAGTGTGAGTGCGCAGTACTGCTGATGCGCGCACATCGGCTTGCGCAAACGTATACCGCAAGAGTTGGTGTGCAGTTGTTTAGAAGTTACGCTTCTTGAATTACCCACTCACGGCTGCATATATAACTCATAACTGGCTGCCGAGTCATGGAAATGTTCCGTATTCTTGTGTGCGCGAGAATGCGAGCTTGCAAGTTAATTAGATCGCCATCGCCACAGTTTGAATCGATGCAATCTGAATTTGCAACGAAAGTATGGACTTTCGCCAATCAGCTCACCTAAGAGCTACACGCAAAATGAAACTACACACTATTCCGCGTTCACGAACAGTACATTATTCAAAAACAACAACAATCTCCGCCCGCGGATACACGTACCTTCACCTCTCGTTCGAAAATTCACGTATGTATAAAGCCGCGCTCGCGCGAATGTCAAATCGTAAGTTGAGCTCTCAGTAAGTTTACTCTCTCTCGCTCCTTTCAAGAAGGGAATACTTAATCGGCGTCGGCGATCGCGAGCGTCCCCCCTCTCCCCTTATTACGATGTTTCGCTGAATAAATGCATCGCCACCTCTCCCGGATTTTCATGTCGCTCTCTCGAGACTCTCCGCCGCGCGCAGTCCATGGGAATATCACGAAATGTGTGCCCGCTTACGCGCTCTGCTGATTTTCTGCCAGTGATCAGATTTCTTTATTTATTTATTTGTCTGATATTTCGTTTATGAAATGTCGCACTTATTACACAAATACATATAGACTGCAGTCTCCGTTGATCGCAAAATTCTTCGAGATCAACGGTGGAAAAGAACGTGGCAGCGAGCGTGCTATGTGCTTCACAGCGAATATCGAACGTCATAAAACTGTCCGATATGTAAGCGCGCGCGTCCGAGTAAGAGAATATCCGCGATATAGCCTTCGGGTTCTACATTGACTTTTACTCAGACTCGGCCACTTTGAGAGATTTAAAAATGCATACCGTGCAGATTGGAAACTAGCCTGCTCAGATGTCGAGTCGTAATTTATCAAATTGTGTGCTTGTTTGCTTTTAATACGCGAGTTTAAGGGTGTATAAAATATCTCTCTCATCTGTTTCAGGTGTACAATACAACAGCGAGTAAAAGAGCAATTCTATATCTATAGCCGCATTGTACTTTCGATGTATCCATTTGGGTTATATTTTATTGCCCTGTCGATAAATTTATAATCGGTCTTATAGAGGAACTGATACGATCAGGATTTTATCCTTTATTGCTGATCGTGCCAGACGTCAAGAGCACGACTAACCATTTCTTTTATTCGTCAACAGACGACGCCGTCAAACTTTGAACCTTCATTGTAAATACGGTCGTTTGGCGTACAAGTGTAAGTTACACCGATCAGTTGGATTCGAGTACAGTGAGTTATCACGGCGAAATGACAGATGCATTCGTAGAAACATTGAAAAGAGCGTATCTCACAATCTGCGCGCGAGAATGTGATTGCGAAATCGTGCCTCTTTCGTACTCACGACGTGCACACAACAATTTGTCTATATTTCAATCCTCTCATATTATACTACCCCCTAAAAAAATCTCGAATATTTCAGTGTCTCGATTTCATCACAAATACGGAAAAGAAAAAAAAACAAAGAGAGTATTCACATCCGAATGCAGTGCAACAACACAATAAAAGAAGTCGTGCGGTGAGAGATCCATCAAAGGCTTCATCGAAGCTATCTCTATAACAAAGCCACGCGGCAACTTTGCACGAAAATACGCGAGCGTGGGGGGGGGGCGGTGAAGGTTGTATAAAAATCTATGCTCGAGCGAGCTCCGACTCGGGAGCTTTTCCGAGACACGAGCGCCGAAGACGAATCATTCTCACGCGAAGGGTTTTCGCACACGTGTGTTTATCCCCTGTTCCCCTCTTTTCGGCAGACGTCGTCTACTATACGCGCCGATCCATATAAATGCGCACGAAGCTTGTAATTTGAAGCAAAGGGGAGCTACAAGTGCGTGTATAAATTATGGATGGAATGTCTGCATTGCCGTATTTAAAGTCTGTATACGCTTAGGGTATTTTAAATGTGGATGTGTATGCTTACTTTTAATTTTGAGGGGATCAGCTGTGTGGCTTGCTTGGTCAGCTGGAAAATTAGTGATATTGAATTAATGAATAGTTATAAAATTGTAATGCTGCTGCGTCTCGAATAACAGTTGTTGACATACATTTTTTATTATTGACAATTGTCGGTTTTACTTCGCAGAAGAGCTGCTTAAAATTGTCTTTATTGAAAATAACAAAGAAAAATTACCGAAAAAGGATATTTATAATTTAGTTAAGAATAATAAATAATTTTAAAAAATTAGAGTTACTCCACTCGAATCGTAAATCTTCGTAATTGCAAATTGCGCGCTGTAACGTAAGAGAAATTGTTGTCTCTTTTACAAAGAAGATTTAAGATAAGATCTAGGGAGTAGCAGGAACACGTGCAGAGAAAGAGAGAGAGAGAGAGAGACGATGACGAAATTCGCTACGAGAGCTAAGCGGATGAATTATATACAGCGGAAGGACCTCGAAATAGTCAGTTGTGCGCCACTCACAGAGCCGGAAGAAAAGTAGCGTAAATCCATTAGTTTTTCATCAGTTTGCCATTTGCCCCCCCCCCCCCCCCCCCACTCTACTCACTATATAACATTAGCACTTCGTGCGGCAGATAGAATAGGGTCTTCTTTAACTCCCCCTCATACTTGCCGATATATAACACTACTGATACAGTCGTTCAACTCCTGTTGCAATTGTACAAATCTGCTGGCAATTATTTTTGAGAGTACACGTGAACTCAATTTGCCTGCAAGCGCGTACATATTCTAAAAAGGCCTACGTGGAATTTTGAAAAGTTTATATCGGCAATGCTTTCATCAATGAAGTTTATTTCAAATTCTAATCGCCGCACTGGTTAATACACATAGTGAAACGGTTTCTGAATTGATTTCATTAAGCGAGTTGAATTAGCTACCGCACTCATAAGATCGTTCTCCATGTCGTAGCGTTGACGATGATACTATCTTAAATTAATCGACATTAATTTCATTACTGAACGATAGATGGAAGGTATTTGAAGAGACGCCAAATTAAGGAAAATGGGAGCGCGTAAGTTAACGTGACAATGTAATTTAGATCGCGCGACCTCCGTATTCTCGTACGATCATTAAAATTCTATTACATCGTCACCTTTTTAAAATGAAAAATAGAGCCGCTGCATAACTGTTATTGATATGTGCATTGCATAGCAATCATTCGTTAGACACGTTGCCAACGAAGAGAAAAATATAAAAGCGACTTCTAAAGTGATTTTTTTCCGTTTCTTTGCACGATCTATAGTAAATACGGCGAATAAAAATTCCATTTTACAAGTCAAAATACCTTCAACCGGTAGTTTGAATGAAGCTTTCACTTTAATACTACGAGATTTCCTTCTTACCGCTGAGAGACTTGGGAAAATTAAGCGAATTAGAACGAAAAACTCATGGGAATTTTTTTTCTCTTTTCATACTTAGACGTTGCGAGGGAATCTAGTTTTGCTTGGCAGGCAGTAAATGTATGTGATCTCGTGAATTATTTTTTCGCGCCGCTACTTTTCAAAGTAGGTCGTCGTTAAAAGCTAGTTAGGTGACCTTTTTGAATTGCCCTAAACGCCTACAATAACATACATTTCAGAAATACATTTGCAGATTACGTCGGAGAGTCCCATCAAGTTATACTCGTAATAGCTACACTTAAAAACGTGACACTGCAAAACTGATTGTTTAAAAATAGAAATATGCTATTAACGACCGGAGAGCAAAAAATTGTCTCTCTGATAGTTTTCATTAGCTTGTAATTGTAACCAGCTCGATAACGGTCAACCCCTTATCAATGAACAAATTAATATCTCAGACAGCTAAACCGTAACAAACAAATCCCTCTCAAAAATCTAAAAAAGCACTTTCCGTGACTTTATTCTTCGCGCAAGAGAATGCATAGTCCTGCTGCCACCCCTTCCGCCTCTCTCCATCGGGGCTAGCTAAGCTCTTAAAACGCCCAAAAAGCGCGCTCGCGCTCCCGTGAACTTGTACTTGCCGCTGCAGACGTCGGCGAAAAAGTAGATAGATACTCGCACGGAGAAAGAAAAAGATGAAAAAAAGAGAAGGAAGGAACGGAAAGAAAAGAAACGGAGTAGTAGCGCGCGAGAAAAAAAATTCACACGAGTGCATCTCCCTCTACTCCGTGCTGTGCGTGCATCACCCACACTGTAAACGCGCTTTCTCGCCTGTATAGCACTTCGGTTCTCAGGCGCGATAAGTAACCTTTTATACACTGGCATTTATCGACACACTCTCACTGTGTGCTCTTACACAAACACAAATATCCACACGTACAGAGAAGAGAGAGAGAGAGAGAGAGAGAGAGAGAGAGAGAGAGAGAGAGAGAGAGAGAGCGGAGCTCGTCATCATCGCTCGGCGAGCGAGCATAGCGCAGAGCGAAGTGGCCACCCACTCTTTCCCACAGCAGGTTTTTCCCACGCCCCCCGGGGTAACCCCAACATCCTTTTGCGGCAGCAATTCCACGCGCGGGCCCCGCTCTCTCGGTCGCGTAGACCAGAGGTGGGGAGCGAGAGCTGCTATATGGACGCGGAGCGAGAGGAGAAAATGAGGGAGAGACAGAGCAGTTCGAGCCTCGTGCTCGCGCGGAGCCCAATTGTGGCCGTACAAGCTCTCTCGCTTCGCCGAGTAAAACAATAGAAACTGCAGCCACTTTATGCGCTGCCGTAATAAACTTGGCGATTCGCGCTCGACCCGCCTCCCCACCAGCCCGCCGACTCTCAAAACACACGTGTGCCGATCGCTACCGCCGTCCTTCTCTCGCGGCCTATCTCGCTGCCGCTTTCAGTTTGACGTCGACGCTCGTGCTGTGAACCACGCGGCCTTGCGGGGCGTGGACTCGCACGGCCACCAACTTTGATTGACGTGCGAACTCTTGCACCGTCTCCTTGCCGCCGCGCCAAACCTCGCGCACTGTGCAAACGCATCCAAGTACACGTTTGTTCGGTTCTGCTGTTTTCCGCTTACATTCGTAACTTTCATTTTCAGTGGCTTTTTTTTAAATCAACTATCTATATTTTTTTTAAATCAACTATGACTCTGCGACAATAGACAGTTGAGGGCCAGTGTGGCGAATGTGAAAGAGAGCGGAGAGAGAAAAAAAAAAAGAAACGACGAGATTCGGTAGGCGGCAACATCCACGGCCGAGAGCGTGCGAGTAGCGTGAGAAAAACTTTCCCACGCTCGCTCGGCGATTCGAACTTGGCGCTTTCGTTCTCCTCTGTCTCGCGCTCTGCATCCTCGCGACTGCGCTTGCGCGACAGATCCCCCTCTTACTCTCTTTCTCTCTCGCTCGCTCGTTTGCGCTCTCCTTATCTCTGTCTCACTCGCGAGGCGGCGCGCGGCGGCTACTGCCGACCGCCTAACTTACTCGATCTCCTACTCGCGAGTTGAGCGGCTACTCGTCGACGACGGAGCACATACGCGTATTGTATCTAGGAAATTTCGGCGAACAGGTGTTTTTCCGAATGAATCTTCCGCGAGGTTGCTTGGATATTTTTCGACAGTGCTACCGCTAATGCTTGCCGTTATGGAGCCGCTAGCAGACGCTACTCAGGATAGGTATGCTGAGTTTTTTTATTACTGTTGAAGCTTTTCCTTTAACTTGTTTTTCTCCTACTCTTGTCCATGTGTATACTTGCTGCCGCTACCTCTTTATTTTTTCTTTTGCTCATGCCTCGCGCGTTCCGGCTCTTGTCCTTTAGGCTGTAGAAATAGGCTGAGAGCATTGCAGGCCTAATGCAACGTATACTGCCACGCTTAACCTATCCGGTTCTGTTTCTCACACGTCGTTCAGCTTTTTTTCTGACTGTTGTTGCTCGATTTTTTAATTTCTCTAAATTCGATGGGCTCCGTTTTATATGAGATGCTCGACTGGAAACGATCGATCGAACGTTAGGGTGTGATTCTCAATGAGTGAATCGGTTAGTTATGTGATTCTTAGTATTTGTTTATTTATTTTTGTCGAACAGATCTTTATCATATGTGGACAGTTAGAGTGTAAATACAAACAGTGATACTGGTCACATAATTTTAATGGTCTAATCTTCATTAAAACTAGCTCTTATTTATTTCACAAGATTGTTCAATTGAGTATGTTTCTTTTTCACAACTGACTTTTCAACTGGCTGCTTATTATACCAAGTCCCTAATTTTAATTGTAAACCTAAATAAAGACCAAATCTAAAATGCATATACTTTGCCTAGTGCTTCCTATGTGTAGATTGCTCTCTATTGTTCAATATATCTATTTGCATGAATATGCATTGGATGCAGCCTTTTAACATCACTGGCAAGTATTTTAATTCGAGCTTGGCTCAGACATTTTAAATTTCATGCTGCATTCAAAATGCTTTGATCGAGTCTCTTTCTGTTGTTTGCTAACAATGCAAAGTCATTCCATGACCTAGCCTGATAATTAAATGTTCATTTTCATGAAACCGGTGCAAGTGTATTTTTGTTTAGGTCAGATTTAATTCAGATCAGTGAAAGAGTGAGAAAGAAAAAATAAAAAGAGAAAACTTGAATGAAAGACTGGTAGTGTGTGGTGTGAGACTTGAGTGAAAATCACTTTTTAGAGAAACTTGTTTACATCGGCCAATAGGAGCCAACAGTACCTTAATTCATGCAAGAAAAACGAGCCTGGCTCTATTCCCACGGCTTGTACATGTTTCCTCTTTCCTGTGCGCGCAAAGCAGTAATTCTCAGCTACTCATTTGAAGCAAGATATCTTGGGCTAATTGTGTGCAACAGATAATAAAAAAAATCTTCCCACGCATACTTTAGATCTTCTTGCTGCACTGTGCTAGTGTCTGTGGAGTGTATTTTTATTGAAATTTACTAATGCCAGAGAAAATTGTTGCCATTTGTTTTAGTTTATTATCAGTAAATAACTCTGCTTATAATATGTAGAACAGCCATTAAAAATATTTTCATTTTTACTTCATGTTGCGCAATGCATCAACTATTACACAAACTTCTATCAATTAATTTTGATATTTCACAATTATTGCTTACAGGTCTTTGAATTCATGAGACACTAATCATTAATATTATATAAGAAAAAAAAGTTGATTGATTATAATATAAAGTTTGTATATTATAAATATGTCTTTGCACATTCATGATTTATTACAAATAGTTGAATATAGTAATGAAAATTCAGAAGACCTTTTTAGTTGATCTTGAAAATATTTTAGCAGCTATAACCGATAGTACAAAAAACTTTTTAAGTAAAGTTACTCATTCGCAGCACTATTAAATTGAAAAATAATGATTCAAGCAGCAAAAAAATTATGTGTATATCTTTCAGTGTAATATAACAATTAGCAAGCAATCCTCATCGTTCCTCTACCTTGGCAGAAAGAACACAGATAGATTAACTCATTAGTCATCGAAACCAACCCAAACCATTTTAAAAAAATCAGTTATCAAAACTGTAATTGCATTTTTCTCATTACAGATAGTCTATCCTAAACGGAGGAACGGAGTGGAGTAGCAGGAGCAGTAAAGGACAGAATGTCCAACCGTGCGTGCTCCATTTAAAGTGGTCCGTATGATAATGCCCCACAGTCAGTACGGGCTGCCGACAATGGCTGCTCACGGTGGGCTGCAATCACCACCGTCGCCGACGGTGATGTCAGCCTACCCTCGCTTCGCTGGAGGTGTCTACAGGCCGGAACAGGCGGCCCATCAGGAGCAGCGACTCACCCGCGACGCTATGAAGCACTACCTCGCAGAGCACAAGCGCACCCAAGGCAAAGCTGACATGGTGGTTGTTATACTCCACGCCAAAGTCGCTCAAAAGTCCTACGGCAATGAGAAACGATTCTTCTGTCCGCCTCCATGCATTTACCTGAAAGGCAATGCCTGGGCCATGAGACAAGAGCAGATGAGACGAGACGGCGAATCCGAGCAGTCGACACAGTTGTGTGCCTTCATTGGAATCGGTAACTCGGATCAGGACATGCAGCAGTTGGATTTAAACAATGGCAAACAGTACTGCGCCGCCAAGACCTTGTACATCTCGGATTCGGACAAGAGGAAGCACTTCATGCTGTCGGTGAAGATGTTCTACGGCAACGGCCATGACATCGGCGTATTTCACAGCAAGAGAATCAAGGTCATCTCAAAGCCATCCAAAAAGAAGCAAAGTCTGAAGAACGCCGATCTCTGCATCGCCTCGGGTACGCGAGTAGCGCTGTTCAATAGGCTTCGTTCGCAAACGGTCAGCACGAGATATCTGCACGTGGACAATAACAATTTCCACGCGAGCTCGACGCAATGGGGCGCCTTCACGATTCATCTGTTGGATGACAACGAAAGCGAGTCCGAGGAGTTTCAGGTGCGAGACGGTTATGTGCACTACGGCAGTACCGTCAAGCTTGTTTGCTCCGAGACAGGAATGGCGCTGCCGCGTCTGGTCATACGCAAGGTCGATAAACAAATGGCCAGCCTCGAGGCTGATGATCCGGTGTCGCAACTGCACAAATGCGCGTTCTACATGAAGGACACGGACCACATGTACCTGTGCCTATCGCAAGAGCGGATAATCCAGTTTCAAGCGACACCCTGTCCCAAGGAACCCAATAAGGAGATGATCAACGACGGTGCATGCTGGACCATCATCAGTACCGATCGCGCCGAGTATACCTTTTACGAGGGTATGGGTCCCGTTCGCAATCCCGTCACACCGGTGCCTCTGGTGCACAGCTTAAACCTGAACGGCGGTGGCGACGTGGCAATGCTCGAGCTGACGGGCGACAATTTTACGCCCAATCTACAAGTGTGGTTCGGCGACGTGGAGGCTGAAACGATGTACCGTTGCCAAGAGAGCATGCTGTGCGTGGTACCGGACATCTCGCAATTCCGTGGCGAGTGGATGTGGATTCATCAACCGACGCAAGTACCTGTCTCGCTGGTACGCACAGATGGCATTATCTACGCGACGGGACTGACGTTCACTTACACACCGGAACCTGGACCAAGGCAGCCTTGCTTGCCGGCAAGTGAAGTTATGAGGCAACCGAGGGGAATGAACAACCAGGTGGCTATGCAGCCGGCGATCGCCGATGTCCCATGGAATCATCATCCACAGCCACCTCAACCGGGACTTTGATACGAGCCTAATAGCTGGGGCTTTGACGGTGGTGGTAGTGGCAACGGACCTGATTCTGTTGCTCAAGTACCGGATGAGCCTGCAGCTAACGACGACAGATTACCCAAGGAGGCTGCTGAGCCTTTTCAGGTGTAAAGACGCTCTCGATCATTTTTCAGGGGTTTTCATTACGCGAAGTATGTTTTGCACGCGCATGTGAGGTGAACGCACAAAGCGCACTCGAAGGACTTTATGCTGTAAGTTGTTGATATAAATGTTTATGAAATAATTATTTATACGACGAACGGTGGATGATTTTCTTCCTCAGAAAAGGATGAAAATCAAATGTAAACGAAACAACAATCGGTGCATATCACTATAATTACGAAACGGATAATTGTATTATATAAAGAATTTTTTTCTTTTCTTTGTTCGGCTGTCGTGCTCTTTTTCTGGACGCTTAGCGTGTATATATATATATATATATATATATATATATATATATATATATATATATATATATCCGTCTGACTAATCCGTGTGCAGTGATAATGATAACGAATAACTGAATTGTCGCTGTATTCTTCGTGAGAAACAAACAGATATTTTTAATAGAAACGAAAAATGTGATTGCGTTCTATGGGAAGCCGAAGCGACATCATAATAACTGGAGCTCATAGCATATTCATATACCGCAGAGAATTTTTTACGTAAAGAATAAAATCGAACGTCAATCTCTACAAGTCAATGCTCAAACGTTAATCATACGTTAAAAAAAGAAAGAAGTCAATAGAAACTATAAAACCCGCGGGATAGTCCGATTTCGCAATTTATAAGCAATCGCTGCATGGACTGCGTAAGAATTACGTTATTATTTTCGTTAATTATGTATATATAGAAAGCCTATGTAAATTTTGCTCGTTTTCATCAAGTGCGCACCAATTTTATTAGTTACTACTGTGATACAAAGACTCACACTGTCCATATAAGCTATAGTAGTAACAACAATACGCACGCACATATATACAGCAAAATTTTTCAATGGAGAGAATGCGTTTATACACAAAAACGAATTTAGCGAGGTAAATATCATTGCGTAACGGTGGTAGAGGGTTTTTTCTTCGAACCGACTATGAATCGTCAATTAGCGCTACTATATTCTAAGCTACAGCGTGAATGTTAGCTTGTAAAGTGTTTCTTCTTGTGTATCGGAGTTATCTTTTAGTGTTCATGTATAAAAACAAATTGAATTATGATAGTTTTTATACCGTGTACTAATTATATATCTATAAATATAAACATAAATGTGTGCATACACTACGAAGCCAGAAAGGCTTAAAAATGCAAAACATTTGCCAAATGACGTTTGATAAGTTATGAACTAGAACTTTCTTTATGAAATGCCTAGCTATATTTCGTAATATAAAGAGACAAAAAAATGTAAAGTATTTACGAGAAGAAAATCCTATAATTATAAGTTAAGAATTTTATTTGGAGAGAATTATTCGAAGTATATATTTTATAAATTTTTAAAAGATAAATGGTAATCTTATAATAAATTCTTTATATATATATATACAAGATATCAATTTTCAAACTCTTGAACAACACTCCTCAATTTCCTTCTTCAATGCTGTGAAGAATCCTAATACTATATAAGACTACTGTCAGATACACCAAAACAAAATACGTACTCTAAGAAAATTTTTTGGCTTTCAATTTTTAGTGTAAGAAACGCAATACGAGCTTATAACTTGTAATAATGTATTTAAAGGAATAAACTATTTATGGAATCGACAGGCATATACAAACTGAATACGAGATAAAAAGTAATATAAATTATGATATTATTGAACAGAATGGCACATGTAACAAAAATCAAAATGTAAACTCAAAGTAAAAATAAACCAAGATATCTATATCGAAGTAACGTTATTAAGAGCTGTTTTATAAATTACAAGAGATTTCTAATGTATGCTACATAAATCCTTAAACTTGATTGCGTGTATAAGTCAAGTAGGATCCATGTGCGTCTGTCGACTTGACGAAAAAAAGCAATCCGAGGGAGCAATCTCAGAAGGGAAATGAGATAGCATCAACCTGAGAGTGCCTTCCTTCAAGATATCTATTGTTACCCAGGAATGTCGGCAGCTACGTTCCCTGGGAATTTACCCACAATTAACGTCCAGATCCTGTGCCTACCTGGACGACAAACGGGGTTACCATTATTATACCAGAAGCAGTATGTAATCCTAGATTAATAACAAGCTATAATTATACCCCATGGTACATCATAAAAATTAGAAATTAGGTTGATGTGTTCGAAGAAGCTTCGGGAAACGTCAATTTATTTGAAATCCTTTATTGCCTTTATGTACAATTATTTTAATATATAAATACTCGTCTCTTTGTAAAAAAACCTCTCTCATTCTAAAATACTCATTTATAAAATTTATTACATACAAAAAATCTTGATTATTAACTTAAAGTGTAGTTAGTATAAATTGACAAATATAACACTTTTTTACAATTCTTTAACAATTTAATCGCAGGTTAATATCCAATTCTTTGACAATAAAAAAGGCATTATCATTTCTCGAGCACAAAGACTCAACGTTCAATTATTTCAACGTGAAATTGTTACCTCACAATCCACAATTGTGTCACGTGAGGTATCATTTCACTATGCAAGTTTCAAATCAAATCATTACCTACAAGCTTCATTTACTTTATCCGTAGCGTGTTGCGCTGCTTATTCATATTAACGAGCATGAGTGAGATATAAGAGGTCAGTAGATCATCCATTTTATATCCAAGAGATGTCTCGCACAAAAGTTTCGATCCTCGGACTAAATTGCCTATCGTCATATGGAAGTACGTATTGCCGGAAGACCAGTTGGAGATTCTCGTAAAAGGATGAGTCACCAAAATATCCTATAAATAACAAGAATTTGCATGCGTTAATAAAAATGTACGAGTGAACATTCGATACATTTGAAATCTATTTTATTCGTACTTTCGATTGTGGATGAATGAGACTGACACCGTGTTTATTTATAGCAATTAGAAGTAGCTCAGGGTAGTCGGGTTCAGTGCTTTGTTTCACTTCGAAAAAGGCCGAGCCAAATGTGGGCCATCGGTAGACGATTTTCAGGAACGTGACTTTGGCATCTTCAGGACTCATACCTTAAAATTTCATATGTTTATATGACTAATGACAAATAAACATAAAAAATGTTTTATTTACCTGCATCGTGATTGTATGCTGCGATTATCGAACGTTTCCATTCGTTTGAGCTCTGAGTTTTCACTAAATCACCGGGAATGAGTTCTCGCAGCATTTGGCTGAAAGGAATTAATACTTTTAATCAGTATTTTTTTAGCATCGAGCAGCACTACTTTTCAATGTTATTAAGCTTACGGGATTGATTGAAGTTCCTGCTTATTCTCGCCAAATCGTACACGATAAACTAAGGCAGCTAGTCGTGAGGCTTCTTCTTTCGTACACTTGTGATATCCTAAATTTTATTATAAATTAGTTAGTTATTGATAAACTAAAATTTAGATTTTCAATTCACGAATATATCTATATACATGCCTCGTAATAATTTTGGCAATTCTTGGTGGAAGTGGAATATCAGATCCGCATTTCTATCTTTACCAGGTACAGTATTTGTCCACAACTTCTTCATAAAGAATACTTGGTACGTGAATTGAGGAGACAAACCTTTAAAATATGAAAATAATTAAAAATCAAATAAACTCATTGGTCGATCACATAAGAATGCACTAACTACACTAACCGTCTCTCGTTGGATGAGCTTTTCTCATCCAATCAGTCAAGTGCCGAACAAAGTCAAAGAAAAAGTCTCCTTCGGGTACTGAAATAACTTTGTCAGCGATTTTAACAAACAAACTGAATCCCTCGGAAGAGCGTAAATTCAGTCTTTGAGCAATATTTTGGCAAAAATCTTTAGCTCTCGTGGAGGAATCAACTTCGAATGCCTCATCGGAATCATCAGGGAAATAAACTTTGTGGAATATCTGTGTCGTTTTATGCTGGATTGCCTCGACTTCGACTTGATGTGGTGGATATTTACGTTGACCATTTCTCAAAGTTTTTTGTAGCCTCTGTAGAGAATCTTGTGATATCCGATGCCGTCGTGTACGCAAAAATAACGTCAGTTCCTATGAACAATTAATTATTTTTCATCATAAAATTGAATCACGCTTCACTTTCTCGTTCGATCAATGTTCTTACTTTTAATAAACTTTGACTACACGTAAAAAGTCCTGTCGCAAGCCACATCAACTCCCAACCTCTTTCCTCGCTCAGTCGATTTCTATTATCCGTCAGCTGTTTCATAATCTGACAGTAAATCTCATCTCGTAAGATCTCATTTTTCAATGGTCCATCAAAAATCAAATCAGTATACTCATTGCCCAAACGTTGCCTCTTCGTTGGCATATCACCCATATATTTGAGAATCGCATTGAAAGCGAAGCAAGCTTCATCGGCCAATTCATCCTTAGAAACTAATTTTCGAAGCAGAGGTTGCTTCAGAGGTTCACGCGAGTGACGCCAAAGTTCATCGGGATGGCCACGACGAGCTGCCGTCAGCGTTAGTGCTTTCGACATTGTCTTCTTTGGAGGTGGACTGGAAATATGCATAATTATTTGGAATTTTATTAAATTTGCTGCCGACGATAATAATATATTAGTTCTTACCGGAAATGATCGATAGCGTACTCCATCAAAGTATGCGGCTTGTCTCGAGTTTCCACTCCATTCATCTGCTGTGGGTTTAGTCTCCTGCCATTCTCGTTGCCATTAACACTGAACAACGATAGTATCTCGTTCGGTGGTTTCGTTAAGGTAGGCAATACATAAACTGTTTCAGCGGGAAAGTCGCCTTTCTCGCCGGTTCTCTCACAGATGCCGACGCACCAGCCAGAGTTGTACGGACTACCTTCCTCGTTACCGTCATCTTCGAGCGTGATGAGATCGCCTTTTTGAAAATTCAAGAACGACGAGTTCTCGTTCGAGCCTTTGTAATCTTGCAGAGCGATCGCGAATTTGCTACGTTTCTTCAGACCCTCGAGAAAATAAACCACCAAGTCGCGAATGTCTTCGGCACTTGGACTTTGGAATGTAAATTCTTCGCCGCGCACGGTTGACAAGCTGAAGGTTTGCGTAAACATTTTGTTTGTTCTAGCGGAAAAAATGCAATCGATTAGAATATCTAAGTTTTAAACAACTCAACAAGATATAGAGTAGAGCTCACAAGAACTTACTTTTGACTAGATACGGTGGTAATTTCGGGAAATGACAGCTCCAACAAAACTTGCTCTTGATCGTCGACAACGTAAACACCGGTCCAATTGACAGCGATGATAACATCATTTTTAGGGAGATTCGGTCCTGAATTTCTATAAGCTTCATAGAACCGAGAGAAAAGCAACGGCCACTTGAATTTCGCATAACCGACAATATCTTCTTTAACTCGAAGCGCAGGTACTTTTTCTTTAACATAGTAGCTCTGTAAAATAATTTTTCAATTAATCTCACATCAATTAAATAAGATTCGTTGAGAAAAAAAGTAATAACTCCAAAATGTACCTTCTTGTATCCCTGTAGCACGAGATGACCCCACCTCTCGATAGCCTTATCCACGTCAGTCAAGCAATAATCCGGAATATAATTAGGCAGGAGTGTAAACAATCGCTCGACATTCATATCTGTGCCGTACTCGATGAAATATTGCTGTGCGGCAATCATGGCAAGATCCTCCTCTTTATCACAGCGATACTCGCCGAACTTGACGCCTCGCACCACTTGTTGGTAAATGAGATTCGTCGCCACTTGATCCTCGGTCGGCTCATGCCACGGTGCGAAAATTTCTTTACGGAAGAACAATCGCCACGGTGCATTCCTTTCCTGAGCACCCTGTTCTTTCGCGTATTGCTCACACTGAGAAATTGCGTCCATGACGTGGTCGCCGCCGCTGCCGAGCGACGACACTTTATCGAATAGAGCGATGTACAACGAGAAGCCAAATTGATCGCGCAAAGAGATCTTGTCGGAAAGCTGATTGCACAGTTCTCTTGCCGTTGTAGCAGAGTCGGCCAAAAGTGTCTTGGTATTACCATCCATGAAAGTGATGGGTAGCATAATAGGTTTCTTTGATTTGGTAGCTTGAAGTTCTAGCCAGCTGGGTGGTTGGTTTCTCGTGCCGTTCTTGAATGTGCGCTTCAGGCGATCTTCGCAGTACGGTGCGTATCCTGGTGGACCTTCGCGTATGAAGGCTCGTAGATAGTTGACGAATTTTTCCGACGGCGCAAAGCAACCAACACATAGAGACAACAAGATCCAACCACGTGCGTGCGAAGATTTCGATTGATTGTTCGTTAGTTGCTTGCAGATCTGACAATAAATTTCATCGCGTAATTCTGCACGCAAGATACCGTGACCAATGATGAAGTGAAGTTTCTCGAGATTCGAAGTAGGTCGAGCTTCCAACCATGATTGATAACTGTCGGCTGTGTACTCGTCATCTTGCAATCTTCGCCGCACATCTTCGCCGAGTTTATTTTTACGTTTCAGCGTCAGCGAGACTAATTTGTGGCGGATCGATCGTGGTTTTTGTTTAAGATATGATTCCTGTGATTTACGAACAGCGATCGTGTAAACGACATTGTTATTCATGGAGTAATAGAAACAAGTTTGTATGATCTACTTACGGGATCCATTCCCATCATTTGTGCTTCTTGAAACTCTTTGCTCCTGATGAAATTTCTGCCAAGTGTAGCCGTAACTTTGGACATGACCGAAGTGGTGTCACGATCCATCGTGTGGAATCTTGGCTCGGGCAAATCACCAGTGAACCTCAGAATGGTAATCCACAATGCTTGCGCAGCCTATTTGATCAAAATCAATATAATAGAAGACAAACCAATAATAATACGTTAACGTACGAAAAGACAAAAGCATACCAATTGATCTCCTTGCGTATGCAACGGCAATAACGGATGTTTCAACGGTTTCCTCGAGTAAGTGTGCGTAATGTTACCTTGAAAATAGGTTGCGGCGAATTTCTGAAATTTGAATTCTGATAAATCTTCCTCGTCCTCAGAAGCTGTCTGCATGGGACTAATTATTTCCTGCTGATCGGCTTTTGGCGCTGGTAGATCCTACAAAAGAGTAAATTAATTGTGACCGACTTGTTTTTAAAGTCGAGTGTGATTTTATCGATTATATGCATACGTTAAACACTGAGGTTTCCCTGGCAGGAGTAGGAGCTTCACTACTGGAGTCCGGCAAAAAGTCAAACATCGCTTCGACAAGTTTACTGTCGTCTACAGGTTCGTCTTGTTTTTTCGCGGCATCGTTAATCAAGTTCTTCTTGATCTCCATTCTACGACGATCTTCCATTTCCATTTCAATTTCTTTTCTCTCCAGTTCTTGCATACGTTCCTGTCAGCGCAATTCGAAAATTAATTACAAGGCACAAAAATCAATCGTTGTACGTGTACCCTGAAAATTCATACCCTGAAGTGTTGATCGGCGATTTCTTTGGCTCTCTTATTACCCTGATCCTTCAGCTCTTTCTCCTCCTTTTTTCTCAATCTCAAGGCTTCTAGATGCAATCTGTATTCGTACTTCAACTTCTTGTATCTCCTCTGCGCGATCATTCGTCTTACGTGAGCTTGAATCTTAATAATTGCCCATATCTTTTTTCTGTACGCTCGTCTGACTAAATATCCCCTGGCTCTCGCTTGCAATCCGACAATATGACCTCTCAGGTGCCTGAACCTATGTGCTAATACCCTTGACCTGATGAGCGCCTGTAACCTCATGTAACCGACACGCATACGCTTGTAACGCTGTCGTTGCGCGTGGCCGCGCCAGATCTTTTGAATTTTAATTGCAGCCGCGCGCATCCGTAAGAATCGCCGACGGTATACCCAGCCGCGGATGTTTTTTTGAAGTATGAGTATTTTACGCGTAAGCACGCGGTCACGTTCTTGCTCCAAGAACAAGTCGTGCGCATCTTTCAGGAATACTTTAGTGTGACCGAGCTGATAGTCCGATCTGCCGAGCACTTGGTGACAGATTTTTGTTGTCGCGTATCGGCAGTCAGTCTGCGAAAAAATTAGTATTTCTTAGATATTGAGTGCAAAGATTTCGAACTTATGATGAATTTGAAGAGAAAAGTACCTTGTGCGCAGGAGCTATACCGGGAATAAGAAATCTATATCTTTCGACAAACTCTGGGAAGGAATGTCGAATGGGATATCCAGCTCTTCGTATCCTAATGGTTTCCATCATTCCAGAGTACCGCAGTTGACGGCAACACAGTCCTCTATCAAACAACTACGCAAAATATCACCATGCTCATACGTTCTTTCACAATTGTTTTAAATGACAAAGTTTAATTCGATTACCATTGGCTTTTTATATTCGTTCGGCTTAATGCACCTAATGAAGAAAGGCTGGCAATTAGCTAAAGTTTTCATCAGACAGTCCAACGACTTTTTAAACTGAGTTGAAAGCGTTGGCGCTCTCTTTCTCGTTTCCGATCCCATTCCGATGTCATTGACAAAACAAGCCTGAAGGAATTTGTTGGACGAAATATGAATAAGCTGCAGAAGATCAGTGCTAAATGTATCTCTGTTCTTCTCTAGAAAGCTACGAGTGTCGTAGAATACAACACCGGCAAAGTGATTCAAACCAAACGAGGTATTAATGTCGGACTTTGGCTTCAGATAATTGCGATGAGTTCCGTGGGTTTTGTGCATTTTCGCTAGCATCGTTTGATCGGTACCCTTTGGAAATTTAGATTCCTCGTCGATCAACGCCATAATATTTAATTGCTTGACGGCAATTAAATCCAATGCATCCTGATTGTCAACAAACTCGATGTGTTGCCAATTGATACCCTCGTGATTATATTCCTCCTGTTCGAGCTTAAAGATGTGCTGTACGAAGAATTGCTGAAGATTCTCGTTGGCGTAATTGATGCAAAATTGCTCAAAACTGTTGTGATTGAAGTTTTCAAAACCGAAAATATCCAGCACCCCGATGGAACATCGCGAGGTGTTCTTCGGTCGGTATATGGCTTCGTTGATTTTCTTAACTATGTGGATAAATAATCTGCCATAAATGCCTTTGACAAACGCATCCCTTATATCTACTGACTGGTCCCTCGACAGCGTTGATACCTAGTTAGCAAACGAATACGCTCGTGAGAGAACTGCATACATTCGTTTCAGTATGAGGTGATAGAAAGGTGTATTACTTACAACAGTCTCACCACTGGCAAATATCGTTCGGCGTGTAAGAGCATCGACAAGTGATTGAACGGGCACACCGAGTAATTGTGCAACCCTTTTGACGTTCGTCTGCTCTGGTATTTCTGTTGCATCGAGATTATCTACAATGAAGAAAATCGTATTTCATTGAATATCTCACAATCTATTTGAAAGAGAGAAAGAAAGAGAGAGAGAGAGGGGGGCGTGATTTATTATTATTTGCGATTGTTTCTGCTTACCTATAATAGTTGCCTTGTATTTAACATTACCGATGTGCAATATCGCCGCGAGTAATCTCAAAATTTCCCAGATCTCGCCGTCGGTGAAAAGCAAGACCTTCATTGCCGATCGAATATCGGAGAACTCTGCTGCGTCGTCCCTACCTTCGCACGTTATACTTCCACCCTACAAAATTTATTCACACGCATTAATTCACGAAAAACTTCTTTCAAAATGTTTCAATTCTGATTCTTACCCCAGTAAGATATTTATACGATGAAGCATCCTCTAATTCGAGCTTGGACTTCTCTTCCCTGGTGAGGCCAGCGAGAAGACAATAAAAAATATGGTAATTCCGCTCGTCCAGCATTTGCGTAACGAGGCGAGATTTTTCCAAGAGATACTGCTCTATCTTCGCTCCCTCGATCACTCCGTGTTCGTTGAAGTGAATATCGATGTACTTACCGAATCTCGACGAGTTGTCGTTTCTCACTGTTTTTGCATTTCCGAATGCTGTGAAAGAAACGTTCACGTTTTTATCAATCAATGAAAAACAAAGATTATAACGTAGAGTTTACCTTCAAGAATAGGATTAGCTTCAAGGATTTGCTGTTCGATCCAGGAATGTTTACCGCTGATAGCCGCCAAATACTGTAGGATTAGTTTTGTACTCTCCGTCTTTCCAGCTCCACTTTCACCGCTGCAATAAAAATATCGCATCATCATGTAGTAAAATCGAGAAACATTAATTGGTAATGACTTACCTGATGACGATGCACTGGTCGGTGCCATAACGATTCATATGAGCGTAAGCATTATCACCGATGGCGAAAATGTGTGGTGGCAATTCGCCGATTTTTCGATCCTTGTATAATTTAATTTGCTCCGCGGTGTAGATCGGCAGTATCTGATATGGATTGACTGCCACGAGAATTGAGCCAGTGTAGGTCTGAAAATAAAAGAAGAAGAAGAAGAAGAAGAAGAAGAAGAAGAGAGAGAGAGAAGGAAAGTAGATAAATATTAGCTGATATTAATGAATAATTAATAGTTATGCTGTAGACTTACGTAGATGAGATTCTCGTTATACCGGATGAGCAAGTTCCTCAGGATACCAGCCTCGTGGAGGTCGCCCAAACTGATCATATCCTCGACGCCTTGCACCGATGTCGCATGCATCGCCTTTATCCTTCTCTCCGGGCTTAACCATAGTTCCTACGATAATTAATAAAATTTATCCTCATTGTCTAGGCTTTCAATAAAAGAATAATGCGATGAATAAAAGTCTTTTAAAATGATAGCGTTATCTTTTTTATTTACTCTTTAAAATGGAGTTGGTTTATCTTTCAAATTCGACTCTTCAATTTCGAGATTTAGTGTAGATAAGTTTTAATAGTTTCTTGAAAGTAATTCGTAAGTGACGATAACATAAAAAGTACCTTGTTATCGTCGTCTTTGACTTGAATTCGTCTGCCCTCGGCAGAAATTACGCGTGCTCCGATAGCAACATCAAATTCTTTGCCTGACACCGGCTCGATCCAAATGTAATCGCCCTGAAACAGAAAAAGTTCCTCTTTAGCATTTCCTTGATGCGAGTGATTTACTGAAAAAACGAGTCCCGAAGAAGAGAAAAAGCGCACGAAACGAAGCAGAAAAAAAAGAAAACTTTCACCTCGCTGCGATCATTCTCACGACCGCATTTTTTTGTATTCGAGAGGTGGAGAGAGGTGCAAAAAGGGGCCCTCTAATTACCATCGATATAAATTGCAAAATCATCCCATTATCCCGAAGCCGCTTAGGAAAGCATTAGGAAGGGAACACGTCATGGTTTGACGCATTAGTGCGACATTATCAATACGTATGAAGTTCATTATCTGAAAGACAATCGTTAAGGACATTTAACGCCACATGAATCGTTCACGATGTGTTGTGGACGAAGACTCATTCACGAAAGCCAAAATTAAACGTGCGACGGAAAAATGATTCTTCGAACTGCATAAGTCAAGTGAAATTCAACTAAGTTAGAACGACCAATTTAGAATTTTCAACTTATTTAGAAATGTAAGTGCCTGCGTTTAGTGAAGATAACAACAGCGGAAAAGTGGACGATGCAATCTCTTTCACTAGTAGATTGTAAATCGCGCGTAATAACCATTAGTTAAGTCTGCTACGGCCGCAACAATATAACAGATAAAAGGATTACGAAATGTACAGTGCAAAGCATCGCTCGGCAAGAGAACAATCGACTTTCTCGCTAATTAATCGACGCGCGGTGGGCGATAGTCGAGATAAATCTCGCTCGCTTGGAAGTGTGTTAAGCAAATCAAAGCACACGCGCGGCCCGCTACGCCGAAACTGATTTACAAAGTAGCCGAACGCCACCTTCAATTTGCAGCTACCCCGGCGTTTCGCCAAGCTGACATAATTGGAGTGAACAAGGGCTTCTTTGATAATCCTCTCGACGAATAATATGTATATACATATGTAGAATATCGAATTCCACGTACGTACGCGCGCCGTGAACCTGACTCTTAGAAAACCGTCTGTATACTGCACTTGCTACTGCTGCAATGTCGGCCCAATTGTTCACCTCGGCGGAACATCGGAAGAGCTCTTCCGCTCTTTGGTTCCCGTGTATACACTTGCATTGTGTAATACGTTCACGCTCACTCGAAATTTTTACGCACATTTTTCGTGTTCCGACGTACTTGTCGTTTTGCGATATTTTTTTTGTATGCGCTCTCAAGCGTATTCATTGATAAAGAAAGACGAGACTTTCCCTATTTTTATGTATTTCTGACAAATTATCGAATTTGACAAATCCAGTTAGATTATATCTAGTTGATTCTAGACCAATATTTTTGAGATCGATAAAAAAGGCGGCTCGTTGCTCGACGGCTAGTTACAAGGAGAAGTAAGCGAGTACTTCGAAAGCGGTACAAGATAAGAAAAAAAAGAGGATACTCGAGTTCAATGCCATTTTTTTCCCAACGTAAAGAATCAAGCGGAACGTAGCAAGGTATACATAGATTTTTCACTTCTCGCACTCCCAAGGCAAACTTGCGCGAAGCATTAAAACAGAGATATATGCAGAATGTTCGGCAAATAGTTGCTTTGCAACAAAAAGTAATAATGCATATATAAGCTTGCGCCAACCTTCATGCGTAGACTTTTTACCATCGTGCACTAACGAGTAACTGTTTTTTTTTCGACGAGACCGGGGCTTCGAAGACACGTGTTGTAAACGCTTCACTGCGCTAACAATTTATCCTTTTCTTTTTCCCGATCTTCGTGGAAATCTAGGAGTTTACCGTTTTTCTTTCCACGCGTGAAAAGAGCACAAAATTTTCTTTTCCTAATGTTTGACACTCTCGTATATGAGTAAAGTAGCACCTTGAGAGGATTGTAATTCTATTAAGTAATACTTTAAATTATGTTATAGATGCGCAACAACTGTCAGAAAATCGAAAAATAGGTTTTTTACGAATTTTTATATCCATCAAACGAATGGTCATTGAATATTAATTAAGTTCTTTGCGGTACCTAGAATTCAAGTGACGGTCACTCGGGTGGAAGCAAAAGGAAATAGCTACAAAAACTATCATGTGACAGACAGTCGATATAACACTTGTCAAGCAGTCGAGCCGACCACAATTAACAAAACATTCGTAAGTCGCAGAAAAAGCATCACAATGACGAACAATCAGACTCGATTGGAATGTATAAATAGCTTAACGGTGTTTGATGAAGCCAAGAAAACAGAGAGTAATTAAATAACAGTTTTGCTGCTTTGGCTAAAAAAAAGTCTGAGTTGCGATCAGAACTCGTTTGTCTAGTCCAGCCGTCAAGTGCCCTTTTACGGTTAGACTTATAGGCAGTGTCTTCGACAGGCACACGCTCTAGATCTCTCTTTCTCGCTCAATTTCAGTTTTTTTTCGCAAAAAATAAATAAAGCAAAGCGCGTCAGCACGTTCGCAGGAAAATCTGGGTGTTATGCTAATTTCGCGGTGTTAGAATCAAAGTGTTAAAAAACATTTTGCTCTGTATCGATTTCATCGCCACATGTAATATCTTAGAAAATTTGTCTTTCTAATTGATAGCGATAGAGAGAGAGAGAGAGAGAGAGAGAGAGAGAGAGAGAGAGAGAGAGAGAGAGAGAGAAAGAGAGATAGGGGAAAAATTGAATTGTAAACTGCATATAACGGCGTTTAAAAGTTGAATTACATTATTATGTTTAACAGAGCATTGCATTTAAAATGTTTATTTTATTCCGTCGTGGCTTTCACGCTTATAAATGCCAATTTCATTATTGCAAAAAACTAGTCTCGCCCACTGCAAACGATTATTGTTTTATTACAATCAATAGTCAGCCGCTCAAGGCTCTTTTTTCCAAGATTTACTTAATATTCAATTAACATTCTCAGATTAACGAGGTTTTAATAGTGCACTATAATCGCTTTCAAATTAATTGAATTTAGTGTTTGCATCGGCATGTAGCTACTCTGCTGCCAAGAAATCTTTTCCCTGTTATTGTACTTCTTGCCGTAGGAGCCGTTAAGTTTCGCGCACGCTTGCTGTTCGTCGTAGACAAGCGCAGCACAACCATTATTCACGACCAACAGTATTGGCATAAATTATATACATTAACTCCCTTTTCTTCTACTACAGTCGCGTTTTACATTTTCTATTTCTAAGCGTCATCAAAGAGAGACCCTGACACACTGAATTATCGGACTTTTACCATTATAAAATGTAATTAATCATCCGTGCGAGACACGCTTTTTCGTTTGAGTCTAACTTGAAATGCCTGTTAGTTTTTTTTCATTATTGAGATTGATAGTTCAGAAGTTTCTAATACTTTCAACTGCAGTTAATATTTACAACTCAACTTTGAACAATGTTCGAAAACTTTCAACAGCGGCTATATATATATTTTTTTTCAACTTTGTTAGTTGCTGTAAGTGCGACGTGTTTATGAGTGGCTGTAAGAACGATGAGCCAACGATGGATGCAGCGAGGAAAATTAAAAAAAAAAACTTTTCAACGCATAATAAATCGCTGTACGTACTTTCTTTTCCAATGCGCGACAAAGCTCATTGATATATACCAATAATGTCACCTCGCGCACTGGCCCGTAAATAGTGTTTGCACTGCGATGAAAGTACACGTGCGAAAAGTAAGTTGTACGTGACGATTTTCGCTGCACTATGACAATCGAGAAGTGAAAACTTCAACGTGGCAACGGCCTCGAACACAATGCACACATTTTCCTAACGTGAAATTGTTAGAGAGAAGAAGAAAAAGATTCGTGGATTGAACGTAATCACATTTCACTTTCAACGACTGACACGCGAAAACCGCGCGTTACGCAATAACTTTTCCCCAATGATAGTAATTATCCAGCTCAGTTCTTAGTCGCCCAAAAATTAGCCGCTTACACCTGCAGCAAGGCTAGGGTAAACAACAAAAGCTTTAACGTGTAAACGCGTGTATGCTTGATTGCTCGATATCAGTTTTCGCGACAGAAACTTCGCAAAATCATATGAACCTGCTCGCTTTGCCACGCACCGCCGTTGACCGAGTTATAAGACGCCAAAGTTTTCCAATAATAATGATCATCGGATTGCAACTTACCCGAGTAACGATGACCATTTCTCAAGCTCGCAGTTGTCGGCTCGCTACCTGCAAATTAGAAAAAATGTTTAGTGGATTAGTCTGCGCAAACATTAACGGACGCGACATTAAAGTTTGCCATGGTTTTCTTAGCTCCGCGGATTCGTTCAAATTTCATCCGCGTACGTAGTTTTGTGCGAGAACACCGCGCGCAGTTTGAACTCGAAGCACTTTCGATTGCTCGCATCTTCGGAACTGACAATTCATCCAGTTATTTCATCCGGTTATTCTTAATTGTCGTATAAATCGTTGTCCGATAGGTATTGTAAATCCCCCTCTCTCGCAATGTCGCAGGAAATCGGTGTATTTGCGCGAGTTTCAGCAGATGACCGTTAGCACCAGTCCAAAGAAACACAAAACCAGTCGGCCAAAGTGGGTTATACGTAGGTGCCTATACACGCACACGCGTACACGCATATACACGCACGCACGACGCGAGCGCCTGCTGGAGATCTGTCTTTCCCTTTTTTCCTGCCTTTGCTGGCATTTCCACGCGACGTCTCCGTCTCGAAGGCGATTGCCGATGATTGCTGCCGGTGCTGCTTCCGAGAAATCCGTCTGATGCGCGAGCCGGCCAAGAGCTTTCGAGCGGATCCTCATTATCGCAATGCCGAAGTTTCATAAGGTAACGACGTTGCCGAGCAGCTTTGCCTGGATGCTCGACTATCGTATGCAATTGGTAATTAAGTGATATCGCCGATACATAATAATCAATGTGCTGGGCTCGCCGACATCCGTCAACACGAGCAACAAATCGGTATTTACTGATAGGCTACAGCTTACGGCTGCAATCACGCTTCTCAGTAATAAATTAATCTGTTGACAGGTGGGGTCAGTCGTCTCATTGATTGAAGACCCGTCACAAATGGCCCTCGAAAACAGCATTCTACCCACTGCAACAATGCACGCTCATATTCTCCCGAATAGCGTCGTTTTCTAACCACCATACACTCTATCTTGGCGGCGAATGTCATCTTGAGAAAAGATAATGAAGGGTAATAGTTCAGCGGCGAGATACTGACAAAATCGTGTCGCGAAAACATTAACGAGAGTAAATTATAGGCATGGATATGGCTAATTGCCCTGCTAGACGAGCTTGTCGTTCCACCATAAACACAATGACACTCCGAAAAAAGGACTCTTACGCAATTGCAACGAGGCAACTCGAAATTGAGAAAAAAACAAAGATACAGTGTGTAATTGTTGTAATGCCATTTTGGACTTAGACTACGTAATTAAGCAACTGTTACGAGAAGCGACCATCTAGGGACGGTATGTTGTTGCGTCGACGTATTACACGTATTTGTTCAATTCAAATGCTATATAGCGTTGACACATATGTACGTTAATGGCCTGACACGACTTGTTATGTGCGATGGATTCTGTATCGCAATTTACACATGGGGAAGCTACTGATGTACATATACGTATGAATGTACATAAAGGTGTATACGTTTGTTATGCGTTGTGATGAGATTACCACGCTACGAGTGTACACGTTACATGTCAATGCCTCACACGCGTGTCGCTCTCACTCACTTGCTATTATTTAGTTTCAAAATGACATTTCACCAGAGGTGTCGATATCTTTATCGGTCAGTTTTTTTTTTTTTACTTTTGTAATTTGACAACTGATTGTGCTAAGAATGTGCGTATGGTTGATCTAGGAAAAGAAGTTAATATTGAAAATCAAGGGACTTGATAGATATTTGAAAAAATCTGCGTATGCGAAAATGGCTGAAAGAATTCGAGGAATCTCTATGCAAAGCTAACTTCCACGCGTAGCACGCAAATGATAAATCATCTGACCTACGATGCGGCTCTCGTCGGCGATCGCGGCGCGATCCCACTTCCGCGCGAATACAAACAACGGTAGCAGCAAAAATGCAACTGGTAATTAGAGGATGAAATAAGCATCCGTGTCTGATAGGCATCGAGTGAAAAGTGGGCTGTGTTGCAAGTCGCCGCGGCCGCCACGTGACAACTAAATCGCAAGTGTTGCATCGCGCTCGCGCGTACAGCTTGGAGAACGGCTCGCGCGCTTACATTTAATCGCTCCAGTCATTGACTTTGAAAATATCTCGGCGAACGGTCAGTGGCAGCGGTCGGCGCGGCAACGCAGGTAGCGGCGACGACCAGCCTGTAACTCGCTCTCTTGCTCGTGGTGCGGCGCGCGCTCTGTTCATTGTCTTTACCCCGTCGACTCGTTATTGCGCGCGACTTGTCCCGTCTCGATCTTTTACGATCCGCTGCCCAGCTGTCTGCGAGCCTAACGTCGATCGATCAGCCCATCGGCGCCCATCACGCGAAACGCGTACCCTTTTGTCGCCTCGTAATCGAAAATCTTCGCTCTCGCTTGCGCGTCGCCGGCCAGCCGAAATCAATAACTCATCCGAACGAACAAACAAGCTTATCCGACCCGCGAGAAATAGTCGAGCTGCGGATGATGATGGAGTAGTATCGATATCTCAATCGATGCGCACGTCTCTATGGCTTCGGATCTCGACACACGCGTCATCGTAGATGTATACAGAGCAGCTAGAGCCGGCAAACCGAGGAAGAGCCGCTATGCTGGAGAGAGAGAGAGAGAGAGAGAGAGAGAGAGAGAGAGAGAGAGAGAGAGAGAGAGAGAGAGAGAGAGAGAGAGAGAGAGATCCGTTAATATTGCGCGAGCGAGTTTATACCGCGTCGCTTTTCACCAGCCGGCTTTACGTTTCTTTTGCAACACGCAGAGATGATCGGACGGAGATCCGAACTAGTGCTTTTTGTTTTGTTTATTGCGATCTTAGTGAGATTAGAGACGAAAGAATGCGAAGAAGAGCTGGTGTGGAAATTGAATGGTCGCTACATTGCCGTTGTGAATGATGTAACGACGACGGAAAGAACGCGGCCAAAAAAGAAACGGAGAATAGCGCCGTGTTTTGTCAATTTTCGGGGCAGTTGATCAAACAGCAATCGTTGTCGACTTTCGTTTTCTTTGAAGTGACGCTTCTTGCCAAGATTATATACGCTCTGCTCAGCAAAGCAAATGCTCAACGTCGTATCGCGTCTCACCGCGCTAATTTGTCCAATTCCATTTGCCCGTACGTTTTGATTACGTAATCGTCGATTCATTCCGAGACCTACATTCGGTTTATCAATCGGAAAGCAATATTCAAACCCTCTATATTCTTGCACGAGCAATATCCACAAATCATCCAACCAAAAGAAAAAATTCCTTGAACCAATCGATATTAAAGTCACGAAGTCATGCCTATCCGAAGTCCGATAACGTCTGGACTTTTCATTTAATTTCTGTCGTGATATTATATAATAAGCCCACCCACTGTTTTCCAAAATGAAAAACAAATGGACAGAGCAGGAGCCAGCAGCATCTTTCTCTTCATGACGTACGATGAGTTTTTCCCGAAGCTTCGTGATGGCGCATACGAGTACACAGCTAAGTGGGACCCGGTTACCTCGCTCGACAGGATTCCGACAGCTCTACTCGGCGTTCGTCCGTTGCTGCTGCTACTACCGTACCGGGATTATTTAGGTAAGCTCGCGTGTTGCCTTCCGTGCTCCGCAGCCTACATGACGGATTCCAAAGTGTTTTGTTTAGCCACGTTCCTCATTCCCTCTCTTTTTCTCTCTCTCTTTATCAACGTCGAGAGAAATTTAAATGCAGATTTTTTCTGTTTTGATTTGCCTCGTGAATGGATGTCGCGTGCAAGATGAAAAGCACCGTGGCCTTCTCTTACCTTTTCTTCTCTGGTTTGAATGTATGTGAAAATATTTGTCAATTTGCATTGAATATACGGTGTATGACTCATAGGCTTCGCTTTTATCAGAATTATTAAACGATTTTAATTTCTTTTGCATGTATACATCCACGCGCGCGCGATATAACCATTGTAAACCGGATACGTATCACATACCGATGAGTCCCCGCGATGGCAAGCGAGAGAGAGAAAGAGAAAGAGAAAGAGAGAGAGAGAGAGAGAACCGGTATAAGCAATAAATTTCAAAATTTACAACAAAACTAAATCCCACACATAGGCAGTTTCCGCCTTTGCACGGCGGAACAGAAAAAAAAGGGAGTAGGCGCTCGCAATCTATGTATTTCTAGGTCAGCCTTTCAACAGGTTGGTATGCAGTGGCTAATTAGCGATAAAATTCGGATACGTACAACAAACACAAACGTGCGTACGTGCGCAAGAAAGTCGAACGAAAGAAGTTAGCTTACGCGAATCGTTCGGAAAACGGCCGACTAATTAGGCGGCTTCTTCTTCGTCTTGTTCTTATCCTTTTGCCGTGGATTGCGCATGAGAAACGCAATGGAATTCTCTTATCGATTCACGGAAAACACTCATAAAAACTCGGCTTTTCGCGCTCTTTGAGTTCTATTCGAGGAAGTATTAGGACTCTCGCACGCCAGTTGCTTTCCGATTCCACGAGCGTGCGCGACCGAAACCTATACTGCCGAATCATTGCCGCAGGCTATAATGTACCGCTGGCCTACTTGAATTTTTCGCTCTTTTCCAATTGCAAGCACGTTCGTGCTGTTCGATAAGCCTGTTCGCGCGCGCCTACACTCGAAAATTAAGCTGTACTATTTTCCATCGATCTTATTCGACAAGCGCATTTCGAGCTAAGCTGTCCTTCCCCATGGTAACGTTGCGCAACAACTACCTCGTGGTTGCAGATAAGGATTGCACGCGATAATGTACGGAGTGGCGTACATCCTTATCGCCGCTTGACAAACGACACACGAGCCGCACTCAGCGGTAGCACTGTTTTCGTGTGCAATGACACGAATGTTTCGTTTAACAGGCAATTGCTTCGGAATGTCGCGCTAATTAAAATCTGCGCCTCTCAATAATTCACTTATGCGGTTCACGACAAAATACTGCAAACGTCCCATATTCCCGCGCTCTAAACTTTCACGTCGATTATACGTACGTTTCTCGCGAGCGAGCCAAGGAGAGGAGAGCACACGTAAAAAGAAAAAAAGAGAATCCTTTCGAAAACTCGTCCGAACAGTTTTACAACACGCCCACGCTGTTGATTTTTACGAAATATCTATTCTAATGCTGCTGGTAACATCCTCGAACAGCACGCTTGGAGTAGCTCGTGTGTTGTGCAAAAGTCTTTCCGGAAGAAAGAAATAGACAGACCGACGAGAGGGGAAAAGCGAGAAAAACAACGGCCGAGTGAACAACAGGTGCGACCAGCCGCCCGCGCGATTAAACCAACGAGGGAGGACTTCATCAGAGGCTTATGCTTTATACTCGCCTGTCTGAAAGCAATTTTTCGAAATTTCCAATGTTAGCCGATCCACTGGATGCCCCGATCGGGCAAATACATTCAAGTTCAGGGATCTTGACCGTGAAATTGACTATACACCTTTTTGCAAATATATCATATGATCACAGAGCGCACGTAGCATCACTGGTACCCTCTCTCTCTCTCTCTCTCTCTCTCTCTCTCTCTCTCTCTCTCTCTCTCTCTCTCTCTCTCTCTCTCTCTCTCTCTCTCTCTCTCTCTCTCTCTCTGAGGAAAGATCAGAATGCGCCTTACCTTTCAAGAGGTTGCGAGTCGACCACGTAGACGGAAGGTTATACGCGGCTGTTATTTTGCTGTTTATTTCTCTTTTCCTTCGATTCACAAGAGTTTCATCGCGGCACCAACATTCAACTCCGCACGCACCTCGTGAAACTCAGCGCAGCCGCGCGACTGGAAGCGTATCCAGCACTAAACTAACTGCAACAGCTCTGCCCACAGCTAAAGCGGTGGCGGCGGCAGCAGCAACGGCGACCGGCACATTAACACGTATTATACGTGTAGCGCCACTCACCAGGTGGAAAGAGAAGCGCGTTTCGACGGTTTTTTGTCTTCGTTGCACTCGCTACGACCTGCTTTTTTACTTTTCAGCGTGGGCGGCGTCGCGTACTCTCCCGCTCGTGTGTATGCCCAAGAGTTGAACGCCACGACTACGATCGACTGCTCGGTCATTCGCTGCCACTGAAACTTAACCCAAGCGAGACGATCTCTGTCTGTCTGGTTCGACCGAGGGCGAGGGAGCAGCGACCAGCCCACCGTATACATATGCTACAGTCTCTCTCTCTCTTTCTATATATATATATGAATGTGTATGTATTTGTATGTGTGTGTGTGTGCGCGCGCGTGTGTGTGTGTAAGAGATAAGTATGTTTACGTGAAGGGTTTCGTCTTGTGACGACTATTCTTTTTTCTGTTTGTAAATCTATAGATTAAAGTTTTTTTGCGTACGGACGATTCGCTGGCTTTTTCAATTTGCAATGATTATGCAATTTTTGTCACTCTAATGGCTCAAGTTCTAGGTCGTCCACGTAAGCGTGAGCAGCTAACGTTGCACACCTGAGTGCACCTGTTGCCGAGCTCTTCAAGCAAACAGACAGAGGGAGTGACTTTATCGGCATTTTGGAGAACGTTCGATCGGCGATCCTATTTTTTTTAAATGCAGCCTATTTTTACAAATAGTTCAGAAATTTCAATGTGTAAACGTTTTAACAGTATGACTGTCTCCTTTGACAGAATTTTCCCTCTGAAAATAAATGAATTTTGAAGAGACCGTGGTATCTGTAAAGAATACCAGCTATTGATTCCTTTTGAAATTCAGATTCTTTTATGTGTGCATTTAATGTAAAAAAATTAATAATATGTTCTTTTTCTTGTTTTAAAATGATTACTAAAAATTTTTTTTTCTAGACAGAAAGAATACAAAGGAGTTTTCTATTTTTTAAATTATATATTTGTCATTTAAAAAGCACGTTTTAAACCAGTCTGATTTTTCAAACTTTTGCACCGCACTTTACAACAATTGAATAATTAAAGTTAATTTTCACGTTGTTAATAATTTATTCAAAAACTTTTTTTTTGCAGCACAGTTTGAGCGTTGGATGCGAGATACATGATTACAACGCTGACGATTTGACGAAACCTGCACAAGTGTATATATGTTTATATTTTTATCTTTATTTGATAAATCTGTTTTCTCTTTCCCTTCGTCAATACGATTTTTCTTTCTCAATACCGATTCAAAAGATTTAAGTTTCTTTTCAGTTGTAGCTACAAGTAGTATATCTACTGTATATTATATCATGAGTGATAAATTTTGTACACCTAAAATATGAAAGAACTCGTCAGGAAATCATCGAAAATTGATCGGGAAAAATTATAGAAAAAGTACGCGTGATTGGCAAGGATAGGATAACTTATTAATGATTCCGCACAATAAAGATTTCGTTAATAAAAAATTCCAAAATATTAAACACTATCAGATTAGTAGAAATTGAAAAAAAAAAAATATATATATATATATATATATATATATATATATATATATATATATATATATATATATATATATATATATATATATATATATTAAATATCAAATGTAACATATAAGTTGTAAATAAATAAACTACTATATATATTAAATATTGAAATGAATATGTTGAATGATAAGCAAAAATCACGTGTAATTTTTCTATCCAATCAAAAGGTCATTATAACCATCCGGTATAAAGAAATAAAAATTATTTCTCATTAACAACAACAAATATACGTAAAGAACAATGGGTAACGCAAACTTAAGAAGTACTGTGCTTTGAAAAGGACTGTACCCATAAGCACAGGTTTTTTTCAAATAATGAGCTATGGCAACTACTTGAACATAGACAATATCTTCCCAAGGCTGACAATGTAAAAGCTGTACTGATAAAAGATTAGCTATTTTTTCAATAAAGAATAATTTCAAGTACTTCAAGACAAATCCGAGTTAAAAAATTCACTTCCAATAGTTAATATTAACGGTTATTTCAGAAAATAACTCATGTCTATTTATACAGCTCTTATTAATTATCTGGGTATGAGGATGTAGTTCTTTTTGAGAGGGTATTGTCGTACAAAAGTGTAAATCTATATTACCGACTGATTTTTTTCAGGTACATAATTGTAATGAGAAATAATATTTATTTCTTGAACGGTTATAATATTTTGATTGGATAGAAAAGTGCGCGGGATTTTCCTAACTATTAAACACATTTATATCTATAAAAATTGAATCAAAATGCTACATAGATTCAATTTCTACTGATCTGGGAATGTTCAATTTTTTTAATTTTTTTATGAACAAAAGCTAAAATGCGCGTAATTGTTAATAAGTTTTGTTGGTCTTTGACAATCATGTGCAGTTTTTCTATAATTTTTCTATGTCAATTTTCCGCTCAGTTCCGTCATCCACACTTAGAATTTTTTTTCTTTCTTTAAATATACATGACTTTGACATTTATAAATTTTCACGATAAAAATAGAATTTTATTTGCCAAAATAATGATGGAGTGCATTGCATTGCATAATTTATTTCTTCACAAGTGGCTTGACAAAAGGCAACGTTTAAAAAAAAGACTACTAGTGAGTATTTGTGTATATATATCATTTAGAAAATGTTTCCTAATACAAATCGAACGTTTGCTCGTCCTCAAATAATCGACAGAAACTTGTAATTATTACTCTTAAAAATATGAGCTCTCTAAGTATATATTCGTATATGTTTGTTCTTTAAAGTTGGAGCCGTGATTCACTAAAGTTTCGTATTCTCGTTGCGTTAAGTGTGATATAACCGTCTAATAATTATTCTAATTTCGAGAAAAAAATGATGTTAAATATATTGATGTTTATAAAATAAACTTTTAGGCGTCTTTTACATGGATATATTTTCATCAGACCTTATTTAGTCAGGAATGCTTTTAGAAAAGATTTTCTTATCACTTTAGAGCAATCAATAAATCATACTTTTTAAGCTTTAGAGTTGATTTTATGTCCAGAGAACACATTGGTGCACGTGTTTTGACTTCAAATTTCGAACGTAGAAAACATCTGACATTGACGTTAATATTTTAAAGATCACATGTCTTTTTATACATTATAGTCAATAGCGTTTCGATAATTACTAGAGTTGATACTTTGTAAATCGAGCATTCTTCTGTTAACTGCGTGCTTTAACATAATACACGCGTTAATATTAATGATTTAATAAACAAATCAATTTAATAAGCAACTTAATAAAGTATAGCTTTTATAGTATACATACAGATGTTACATCCAAATAATATAAATGGGTAACGTAGATATATCAATATACTTTTGTTTATATAGAAAACTAAATAACACTATCGCATAACAGTTAACAGCCATTGCCTTTATTCACGTATATAGAGGCATGGTAATGAATACGTTACACTCTAAATATGATTACACACACGCGCGCGCGCGTGTGTGTGTATAGGTACAGCTTTTAGATTTTGGTACAAGATATACACTTCATAAATTTTGCTTTATAAAACGGTAAATCAACAATAAATGTTTTCAAGTTTCAAACACGTTTTATAGGAAGAGCATGACAATGTCATTTCAAATTTGAAAAATGATTTTCTGCGGAATATGATGATATTATATGGAAGTAACAAACAGTGACTGAGATAGCACATACAACTTGTACCTTGAATTAAGTTCTATAGATTAATCGTACAGTATAAGATATAAAACAATAATATAATAACAATTAACACGACTAGGGAGTAGTATAAATATTTCATTCCCTGAAAAAGGTTTATGCGTCATTTTTAATTACTTTTTAAATTTCCAATAAGAGAGCGTATTAAATAATTTGATTGATCATTTTTAATTTCTAAATATTTGTTACATGTACATCAACAAGGTAGTGTAAAAAACCATTGGCTAAAAATAGCACTTCATTTCCGTCACTTTAAAAACGACATTCGAACTTAGAATTTTTCTTTGAACTACATTTCTAAAGATAAATAAAAATTGAAAAAAATCTCTATAAAAGTGTATGAAACCCCATTTTCTCACCTTTTATGTATGTATGAAGTTAATTGTTGTTAAACAACCATTTTTGTAGTATAAAAGCAGAAAGTGTATCGATGTACTGATTTGTCTCAAAGGTAGAGCTTAGAGTATCATTTGTTTCTTTATACTCGGCCGAAGTAAAGCTAAGATTTATTGAAGAAGAGCCGAAACGTCCCAAATTTTAATCATTCGATCTTGTCCAACAGTTAACAGTCTTCTGCGTGGAGCATCAAGGTCCATGTAGACAATGCTATGCTTTGCATCATGAAACGATGCTAATGGCGTTTGACTAATTAAAAAATAAATTGATTAAAACATAATTTTGAATAACATAATCTCACAAATACAACGATTACATACTTGGCAGCCTTTAATTGAATATGGCAAGGTTCACATACTCGAACTTCAAATTCAAAACCCATTGACGGAATCGGAATACGTTTTGAAGAACAATTATCACATAATGCTTGGCCACAGTGACGGCAATGGTGTTGTCTTAAACCAAATTGACGTTGGTCCATCATTGCTTTCAAATTCCAGAAAAATGGCCGTCCACAGTTCTGAAACATTTAAAAATATTTTATAGCGGTACGAAATTTTAAGAATATATAGTTATTCTAAATAGAATTTTATAATCATACCTGACATGTATCAGATTCAGCCCAATTTGCTGTTTCTTTTCTATCAGCTGCCATATTCCAAGAAACAATGACACCATCTTCACCACCAGATAATAAGACACGTTCCATGCTTGCATAACATAAGGCTGTCACTTTGTTACTAGATTGAAATAATTATAATGAAAAATTTATAACATACATTTATGATCTAAACAAGATTATATTCATTAATAAACATTACTTACTGGTGACCTTGTAATTCATAAGCAGTGCCTTGACGGCCTCCAATATCCCATACAATTATACTCTGATCAAAACTACCAGAAAATAGAAGTTGTTTTTCACTATCCCATGCTAATGATCGAATGCTTCCAGTGTGAGTTTTTAACGTAGTTACAAATGTACAGCCATTATTGTCAAGCTTCAACATTTGTATTTGTCCATTGTAGTTTCCAATGAAAGCATGTTTAGATTGAGCATCAAATCTATTTTATGATTAAGGATATATGTTTCATGTATGTCACTTTATCAAAATATGACAAAAAATGGAGTACATATGCATGATAAGAAACTAACTGAAATTAAAATAATTAAATATAGTTAAAAAAGGATACTGCAATGCTGTGTACCAAGCTTCCGTAGTGTAAGTTCCAAGTTTTTTTCCATTTTCAGTACTGTGGAATTGGAATAACTTATCTCTACCTATACTGAGCACCCATTCACAGCTTAAAGAAAACACTACTGCAGCGACTCTTGCTTGATGAGCCATATATTCTCGAATAGCTGTCATACGATTGTAATCACTTTCTAATAAAAATTCCTACAAAACCAAAAATACATTTAATGAACAATTTATTATAAGTTATGAATAAATGAATTTGATAGTGATAAATACATTTATACTGCCATTTTCTAGTCCAACAAACAGCTGTCTGGTTTCAGGACAAAAATCAAGAGATGTTGGAGCTGCTACCATGTACATGCATACACTTGGCCAGTATTGTCCTGAGTCACGTTTTAACCAAACTCTGACAGTTCTGCAATAGTAATTTGAAAATTTGTATTGGTTTATCTTTGTCTACCTTGATTCATATCTAAAATACATCAAAAGACTGTTTAAAGAAATATAGCCAGTCAGATAAAGCAAACAGTTTAAATCATCCTATCTAGGACTTGCAGATAAAGAAAGATTGTTGAGGTATCATACAATCATTTATTTATAATAAAGAACTTACTGTTTCACCTATAATTAGTTTATGTAAAAAATTACGTCGAAAAATAAGAGTGTAAAATAAGTACAATGCAAAAAATAGTAGCAGTTTTAAAAACGTTTAAGGTAAACGCCACAAGTGACTGTACGATTATTACTTGCATCATAAACAATGGATCCAATTAGAATCGAGCTCGAAGCATAAGATGCAAATAAATTCATCGGATCATACATGAATGTGTAGAATATAAGAGGAATCTCAAACAATAGAAGTGAGTCTGACCTGTCATCGCAGACGCTGATGACGCCGTCAATCCTGGGAATGATAACGGCGGCATTGACATCGTCATTGCAACCCTCGAGTTTCGACAGAAGTATAGGCTTCTTATTGGAGCTAAACTTATCCTGATTCATCCCAGGCGCGGGCTTGATTTCGGCTGCCATTGTAATTCTTTCACCTACCACCTGCCCTCAGCTGCTGCTACTACTACTATAACTACTACTGCTGCTACTACTTGTCATTTGATAATTGACAAATTGCGAGCGCCAACCTCTTTGTGTATACAACTCTGAAAACACATATGATCCACGTGAAATTAGATTATACGCCGCTCCGTTTTTTTGCCGTACACTACTGATTGGATTGCGTCTCGATATTAAGGAACGGAGTGACGTCGACAATCGCGAGTTGCGGGAACTCCCCTGGTGACCTTACTCGATCGATAACTTATTTTTCATTGTGTCAAATCAACGAATATGTGTGTGTGTGTGTGTAAGGACAGGTCCGTCTTTAAGGCTCAGAAGTTCTGGCCAGAACTGCAAAATTGGCTCCCCATTTTTAAAGAAAATTAATAGGGAAAGGCAAAATGGCATTAATTGCTCTATTTGTTCTGATACCAGTGCTAATTTCTCTTTTTTGACTACGTAGTGGGTAATGCCTGAAAATTCCAATTTTCCAATCATCTAATTAATAGCTATTATCTCGATAATTTGTTGTTGAATTTTTGCGGGAAAGGCCTTAAAATGAAAATTATTATTTCCTTGATCATCCCTCTCATTCGCTTTTTCAATAAATTGCATATTGTGGTGTTAGTCATATGCACTTGGACGCTGCGCAGTATATTATGCGCAGATCTGATCGTCACACGGAGAATGTCAATATTGTCAATGCGGAGTAACTAATCAATGTTAATTAGTTTTGTGACGGACACGATCGGCGCACAATGTACTGCGCAACGTCCAAGTGCGCATGACCATCATCTTCAATGGCGCGCATTGGAAGCAATTCGTCAACGCTACATTGAAAAGCAAAAACAAAGTGAATTGCATGAAATATTATATATACATAATCATTAAATGCATATGATATCATTTTTACAGTACGATGATGTATATATGACGAATAAAGCAGTTGCAGACCAGTATAGATGTTTTCTAGAAACAATATTTCTTTTAAAAATGTAATAATGACAATTCTGAATAATGATTAATATTGATAAAAAACTAATTCAAGTTGAACAATATATTTTACTTGATATGAGTCGCAAAAGAAATAACATTCATGAAAATAAAATCTATACTGGTCTACAACTCTATTATTCGTCATGTACATTAACGTATCGTAAAATCATGGTTTCACATGCATTTAACAATTATGGTATCAATAATATTTAATGTAATTCACTTTTTTCTAGTTTTCTGATATAGTGCTAACGAAATGACGTTTTCATTTAAAAGCTTACGATTGCGCGCCGTTGATCAGGAGCTTCGTCAGAGTTCGTTTTCCTGCCATCCGAGACGTCGAAAATTATTATTAATTTTATTTAAAATCCATGCAATATATTTAAAAAACGAATGGGAGGGGTGACGAGGTAAATAATAATTTTTATTTTGAGACCTTCCTCGCGAAAATTCAACAACAAATCATCGAGATAATAGCCATTCACTAGGTGATTGGGTAATCGGAATCTTCACGTATTTCCTAGTCATTGAAAATGGAAAATAAACACTGATATCAGAGAAGAATAGGATAATTAATGCCGTTTTGTCTTTTTTGCTACTAATTTCTCTTGAAATGGAAGGGCCAACTTCGTAGTCCTGTTCTGGACTGGCTATCGGATGGTGCGTGAATGCACCAGAGCGGGAGACTATCATGAGTTTGTTTGCATTTGCTCTGTCTACATATTTTTTGATAGATTTTTAACATAGAATTGCAATCACAGTTTCAAAATTTGGGTCGCTTCTTCATAAAATTTACACGTGAAGCGCGGACCAAATCCGAAAAAGCGTTGCTGCCTATAATCTATGTACGGAGAGAATATTAAGGGATAGGATAAGCTGGGACACCTATTCATTTCGTGCACATTTGTTTAGATAGATTTTTAAGATATAATTGCAAAATACGATTCAAAAGTTCTAAAAAAGTAGAGCTACCTTTCAACCATACTTTCTATATATTCGTCGGTCAAATTGATAACCAATTTCACTTTGAGTATTCACGATGTGTATAAATGTGTGTGGGTGTGTATTAATTTCTTTTATTTTAAGATCGCACAAAAATAATTTTTTTTACTATTATACAGAATAGAAACGTTTTTTAATTCAATTTGAGTCTTCTGTTTATTAGATTGTTTTTATTTAATGACTTCTCTAACATTTTTCATAATATATTTAATAGTTCTAGCATACGTACAAAAGGTTGAGTTTAAAAGCCTTTTTACCTACTCAGCTGTTCCACTTCAGTGTCAAGTGTTTTACCGTATAGGAAAGGCATTTATGCCTTCACCTTTTTATAATTACATTCAGTTAATCTCTTTGAACTTCCTAAACAATACTTGGAATAGTCTTTGCTGAAATTGTCATTTGTTTGTTGTTACTTTTGTTTTGATTTATTTCGATTTAATAGCTGTTTTATAAGAAAAAAAAACTTGAGTGAACTTTGAAAAAACATAACCTAACTTGTGATACCAAAAAAGCCGTCCTTATCTTGAAAAAGAAGTTATTTTATTCAGTTGTTAGATATTTACTAACAGAATGTTAAAGTTACAAATCATTTAAAATAGCAAAATGTCTGGAAACGTTTCAATTTCTGGAATTAAGGTAATGAATATTTTAAATTCATCTCCAAAGTATATATTATTATTTTGTAATGATACAGTGGCACTCTATTAACTTATGTATTCACTTTTAGAGTGAAGGCGAATCTGAAGACAACTTAAAACGTCAAGGATCATTCAGAAAACTTTTACCTGCTAATACAAATGGAGATTCTCAACTTGGTACTGCTGCTAAAATGATTGATAGACCAAACTCTTCTCAAAATAGTAAAGAGTATGCTGCATATTTTCAAGAATATAATATACTTGCAGAATAGTAAGTCAATTTTATCATATTCAAATACATTTTACGCCATGATTAATCCCACCAATATTCCCGTAATTACGTGGCTCGATGACTGATTATTCTAAAGATTCTTAGTTACGTAAATTTTCTAGACGGCCTAACTACGGTCCCGTAATTTTAGAATGACGTATTTGAAAGTTACGTATTTACTGGTACTTATCTTAGGAGATACGTATTTATGTCACTCGTACGGTTATATCCCTTTAAAAAAGGTTCAATAAAGTTGCGCTTATAAACAGAAAAAAGATCGGTAGAGTTAGGGTCGACGCCACTCGCGGTGTGTATGGCAATTATAGGTTATAGGGTTTTTACGGTTATTGGGTTATGCAAGGATGCGTATTTACAGACCGTAAATACGTGACTCCAAAATACGTCGCTCCAAAATTGCGAGACTATAGTTAGGCCGTGTGGAGAATTTACACAGACCCAAGTTCGAAAAATTTACGTGATTATATGAATCTTTAGAAAAATCAGTCTTCGAGCGACGTAATTACGTAGATCTTGGTGCGAATAAACACTTTGTACATTTTATTCACTTGAAAAAGTAAAATATACATGTATGTTTTGATATTCAGTAGTATGCTACGAGATCAAGATTTGAAAGGCATTTATGTTATTCCATCAGCTCAAAATTCTTTTCGTAAGTTTTAAATTATTCAAATTCAAACAAAAATATAAATAATTTTTTTCTTATTTCAGTTTGGTTTGGTGTACAATTTATTCGTCAAGGAATTTATCAAGGTGGGGTATTTAGATTTACAATAACATTGCCACAAAATTTCCCAGATGGAAAATGTCCAGTAAGATTTTTAATTTATCCTTATATTAATTTCTTTAAACTTATTCTAATTGATTCATTTTTTTTTATTTTTATTCAGGATGTAGTTTTCCAAACAAAAGTTTTTCACCCTTTGATTAATTATGAGACAGGAGAACTGTATACATTTTGGGGTTTTCCAGAATGGAAAAGAAATATTAGAATTTGGAAATTAGTACAGTTTATTACAAGAATTTTTATCAAACTTGATACCAAAATGACTCCAGTTAATGAAGAAGCATTATTACTGTAATATACAATAAATTTTACTATAATATATGAAAGAATAATAAGATATGAATGATTACATCACTATTGAAATTTTACAGATTAGAGACAAATTTCGAGAGTTATAAAGAACAAGTAAAAAAATGTGTTAAAGATAGTTTGAGTGTAGTCTATGATCGTCCCACAGTTGATGACCCACACTATATTACTTTTAGTCCTTATAATAGTGAAATTCATGATCCTATAAAGCAAGAAATTTACAATCTAAAGGTAAGATTTCATCAAATTAACAATAGTTATGATTAAAACATAATTTGCAATAGTAATAATATTTTTCTATAAACAGAATGACAGTGAAAATAAACCTACGGGATACTCTTGGGTACAACCTGGTTCTCTGACACCTTTTTCAAAATCAGAAGCGAGATAGCAAATGTTTATTTGCATCTTCCGTATTTAATAAATAACTAAACTTAACATTCATTTTGCAGTGGTCCTCCACAACATATTGATAACTGGAAAAGAGATCACACAATTGTTCAACTATTTTTATACAATTAAAAGAAGCGTATTTAGCAAAATTTCTAAAAACAATTTATCTACATTATAATTTATAATGCGTAAATTTTTCATAACTGATGTGAAATCAATTCTTTGTTAACAACTATGAATACTCACGATCAAACTGATTGCATGAGGTATATATCCTACTAAGATCAATTACTCGCTGTGAGCGATTTAAAAATATAAATAAAATAGGGGAATTTCACAGTGGTGATAGTATAGAATTAGTAATAATATTACATTGATTTTGAGTTTAATTTTCCGTTAATAAGAATTGTTATGAGTATTCAGATGAGATTGTTGAATATTAAACTAAATAATTATTTATGCTTAACTATAAACTATATATATCGTACTAACGGTGTTAAGTTATATAAAAATAGAGTTTTGTGTATGTACCAGAAAGAAATTATTTTTTAATATTGTTTTCTATATAAATATTAAGATCTAAGTGCAATAATTGAAATTATGTCATATAAACAACGAATAGAATTTTTTTTGAACTTTTAGAATTTGGAAACGTTTTCGTAACTCTCAATATTTTTTTTAATATATAAAATATATCGTCGAAATTTTGTAAACTTTATTATTCGCCTGAATAATAATAAATCTGTGTGCCTCAAAAATAAATATTAATTTTGATAATCTATTAATAAAGTAATATATAAGTAAAATATGTTAATTTCATTTTTATTACATGATACCCTGAAAACTAATTAAAATAAGTTTTTATTTATAGTAGTTTCAATAGATAATTTTGAATTCAATTTTGAACAAATTGTTAATTGAAGTAAATTAAGTTTTTTTTTAAAGTTTCATAAAAATATTTCAATTTAAATAGATTTTCATTAAAGTTGTTTTTAAAATAGTCAGTGTCATATTATAATATCCTATAATAATAAAACAAATAAACTATAATCTTCATCTGTCATCATTATTGAATTACGTTGAAGCAGATTGTAAAAGAATGTATTATTTGAAGACAAACATATTTATTTTGCGCAAATCATACCAAGAGGTGGTGCCCTCTAGACAATGCAAGTAACAGTAGGGCCAGTAGGTAGCATTAAATAGCATTCTCGACGGGCGACTGCGTGCATCTGCTGATCTGCGACCTGCGTCGTTCTCCTTCCCCATCCCACGTTAATTGATCGTGTCGTGTGACAGTGTGACTGATTTTAATTTGCATGCGATTTGGAGTCGGCATAGGTATTCAAATGTAATAATTTTTCATAACTTAATACTATGAAAAATTTGTGTTTGTATTGTTTGCAACAAGTATAGTGTCAAAGTCGTCTAAACGTTCAAATACTGTAGAACTTGCTGCTGCACTCGCATACCCTTTGCATCGGCTTCTTTTATTTTTGAGGTTATTTTGAGAGTATCCGAAATTTTGTTAAAGTGTTCGATATATTTAGAAACTTTTGCGTTACCAGTTTACTTCAATATTTTCATAAATACAATCCTCTTATCGTGTAACACTGTATTTACAATGTTTACGAATTGGAAGAATGCTTGCAAAGCACGCGATAGTTAAGATAATGGGTAATTTGTAATAAAACTATAAATCAATATTATTATTTCCAGATAAGTCATCACATTGGAGATGCAAACGATTAAGTGTGTAGTTGTAGGAGATGGTGCGGTAGGTAAAACCTGCTTGCTCATCTCCTACACTACCAACAAATTCCCTTCCGAATATGTACCTACTGTATTTGACAATTATGCAGTAACTGTCATGATTGGAGGAGATCCCTATACATTGGGATTGTTTGACACTGCTGGTAAATTTTCTTTTTTTACCTACTTTGAGATTTTAAAACTAATTGAATCAATAAGGTTTAATATATTGTATTTAAAAACTAAAAAATATATTTGATTCATTAGTTCTTTTCATTTGTATGTACAGGTCAGGAGGATTACGATAGACTTCGCCCTTTGAGTTATCCCCAAACAGATGTGTTTTTAGTCTGTTTTTCAGTAGTATCACCATCATCATTTGAAAATGTAAAAGAGAAGGTAATATTACTTATGTACTTGAAATCATATTATGAATGATTTTAATTAAAATTAATTAACAACTTTTTTTATCAATTTTTAGTGGGTACCAGAAATTACACATCACTGTCAAAGGACTCCGTTTCTTTTAGTAGGAACTCAGATCGACTTGAGAGATGATGTTGCAACAATTGAAAAGTTAGCTAAAAACAAACAAAAACCTATAACTGTAGAACAAGGAGAAAAACTTGCAAAAGAATTGAAGGCTGTAAAATATGTTGAATGTAGTGCTTTAACTCAAGTAAGAAAACAAAACTATTAACTTTGGAGTTGACCAATCAGCTATAGAAATTAAATACTAATGCAAATATTAAATGTTACAGAAAGGGTTAAAAAATGTTTTTGATGAAGCAATTTTGGCCGCATTAGAACCACCAGAACCACCTAAGGGTAGAAAATGTTTCATTTTATAAATTATACTAGTCGATTTTTCAGCCAGTCAAGTGTGGATAGGTAATTGCTTAATTCTTATCTAAATTTTTAATATCAATTGGATGCTCTGAATTTTTCTTTAAAAATGTTATTTTAGAAACGCACTGAAGCCGCTGTGTTCGACGCAACAACAGCGATTGTCTCTCGCGCGGCTAAATAAGAAACGATAATGACATCAGCGACAGACACATTCCGTAATTTTGAGAGAAAAAAAAGAATCGTAGATTTTCGAGAATGATAAGCTCATTCGATTTATCGAATTTTCATATAAACTCAAGCTTAACTCATGTATTCATTCGTAAATTTAAGGCGTGATTTGCATTTTTCGACAAAGTCTACCAATTATACACCAAAAATCACAGTACATTTTTGGGACCGTATATAGCTCTTTATTGTAATTTGGCGAAGAAAAATTACAAACACAATAATTATTCGCCACCACACAATGGACTGATTATCAATCATGATAAGATTTATTATTCGCGAATTGCAGTAATCGGGTAATTAATACTGCGCGATGTCAAGTTTGGAAAAAGATGGTTTAAGATCAATAGCGTTGTCAGCATTTCTTTTTTTATTTTTAGCGCTAGCCATTTATCGAGAATTGATTTGTGAAAATCTTCTTGACAGTATTCTATCTTGTATTTCTTACAGTCGCGAAGGAAATTGCAATGTAGTGGACGGGAGAAATTATATTTGTTGATATATATATATGCCTATATCAATGAAACGTCTGATTTTCTTTTTTTTTTTGAACGATATTATATATACTTGAAATGAATTTAGAATTCGTACGGCCTGTGTACGGCACTGTTATGTATCAACATTCTTAAATAAATATTACATTACATTTGTAAACTGTTTAGTTGTACTTAATTTATTCATATACAAGTTCTTAAAAAAAAATTATTTTTTATTCGTTTTGTATTCTCTGTTAATTAATCAGTAATGCAGTGGAGAGTTTTCGAAATGAAATCAAAATAAAAGAGAGTTCAATTTAAATTTTAAGTAAATCAATTCATCACATTAGAGCGCACAGTAGAACCGCTAGTTTTACTACAAAAACTCGAACCATCAAGAAAACCCGCAATGATCTGTATCACACGAAATTGCTTTGACATTTCCACAAAAGCCATCATTCCAAAACGCTCGCTTTATTTCTCAGTCAATTTTTCCTTACTTTCCACAACCGCATTGTCCATCGACCCTTAAATTGAGCCTTTCTGACAATAAAGAAAAAAAAAATAAAAAGTCAACCCACTACGTACTAACGATCACCGCTCGCGATTACGACGACTCTTTTCTCGCACGGGCACATTTCCCGGGAGGTCTCGCGGACAATGGCGTGCGAGAACGTTGAAAAAAAAACAGCGTCTTGTATCGTTTTCGAATCGATCATCTTGGAACGAACCAGTCTGCGGGTCTGTCGCTTCTTCGAACTAGAGGCGCTACTCAGTGGGGAAGTTCTTGGCACCTTTACACATACACATGCGCGCGCGCCATGAGAACTCCCGTCGAGACGATCTTTATACGCGCTTATACGACTTTTTTTTATTATTTCTCGATCCTCTCTCTCTCTCTCTCTCTCTCTCTCTCTCTCTCTCTCTCTCTCTCTCTCTCTCTCTCTCTCTCTCTCTCTCTCTCTCAATCTGTTACCGATCGTCGTCGGGGGGCGCGTGTCGGATTACGTATATTGCAGGTGGGCTTGTCTTTTTTATTGTGATAGATTCTTGCATTGTTTCGCTCAATACGCTTATACTGATTATTTTATTTATACAAGTCCTAAGTAGATTTCTGTTATATTTTATAATTCTGATCAAATAATTAATTAATCACTCATTTACTATGATTCAATCATTATCAATTCACAATAAGAAAGCTTGCCACATCTATGTAGAAATTATATTGGTTCGACGACTCCTCACAAAAATAAAATTATGATTGAGCTGTAATTTATAAATAAGAATCTACAAATTAGAATCATCAAGTTTTTAGTTATACAGAAATTATAAATAACGATCAAATGTTATTAAACCTGTATGTCAATATTTTGTAAAAAATGAGACACAGTATCGAGCTGAAATTGAATCAACTGAGCTAACAAAATTTTTGACACAGAAATCAAACATTGATATGCAGTCCAGCAATGTGATATTTTTATAGGTAACGCATTCTCTTAGCGTTTAAAGTGATTTAAGCCTTGAAATCGAAATTATGTATTTTAAATGTTTTTATGGTTACAACAAAATTACTAACTTTATATTATTGTGTAAAATATATCGAAAAGCCTAGCTTTTCACAAGACAAAGACAGTCGTCCGAGAATACAAAATTAAGAGACACTAATTCGTTGATCGATCGCCCAGTAGCGTCTCCAAATGAAATAAACCTACGCGTAATCAACGGAAAATCGTCGTCCCCCTGTCTCACTAATTCAGCAATCACTTTCCCAAAAATCGAGCCTTAAGTGATCCCTGAACGCGCGCAATCACGACAACAAGTCGGCCCTTAAACTAATTTTATCATGGCAGACACGCACGCACTCGCTTCGATTTTATTTATCGTACGCATCCTGTGCCAGAACTTCCGTCTTGTGCGAGATACGCTTTTGAAGATTAGTCATATTATGACTAATCTAATATATGAAGCGACGGTAAGTGGTCGCGTCGACGATGATGTGTACGACGAGCTTTTTTCGGATTATCTCGACGGCTTGCGGTGCGCGTGCGTTTCTCTTTTCTCTTGATAACCGTGTGTGTATGGCGCGCGTTTGAGATTCACGAGCTCACGCAGAGATCAGTCAGGCATCCAAATATTATTTTCTTTGTTTGTTTCTTTTACAAAGTGAAAAATTTAAGAGGTCGTCCGTTCGTTTTTGTCGTTGTTCCAGAACATTGTAATGTTTAATTAGCTCTCGGTAGGAGGTGCTCGCATTTATGCATTTTAAAAATTATATTATAATTATATTAAACTTCCCGGATCGAGTTCAAGGCGAAATATGCGACTCTAATAAACAATGTTGGATGTATCTGATGCGCCTGCAATATGGCTACTTTAAAAATCATTCATTTTACTATGAAGTTTTTCGAATTTTATAAATTACCTCAACAATATCAAACGTTTGAAAGCTATCAACACATCGACATTGTCTCTTTATTCACTTTATTGAAAAATTACAAAACTATCTGTGAAAGAAAAAAAAGCCCCGTCTTCCTTCTTCTACCCCAAAGAGCAATCAAAAAGCTCCCCGTTCGTTTTCAATCAGACGCGATGCTTTTTCCTTTGGCACTTACCCTCCCATATAATGACACACGATGCCTGATTGCGAGATCTCTCACTCTCGCGTAATTTCCGCGTCGCGCCGCAATCAAAGGGCAAATAACGTAAGTAATACGATCGTGCATTGGATACGAACTTTCTAACAATATTTCTTTTACTTTGATAGTAGCTGTAATATAACACGATTAAGAAAATTACATCGCAGTCTTCAATGTGAGACGTTCAGTTTAATGCCTGTCGACCAAAAGAAACCAACGCACGTTTTGCGCCACGTATTTCTTGACTGGTGCATAAATAAATATTAATTTAATCGTTTGATTTGGGATTCTCATAATCTTGTTTCATCAAATCATTATCTACCATTATATTTTTCATGCAATGAGATCGTTAGCTGTAATAATTTGATTAACAAATGTAATCACTTATCACCTTTATATTTCACAAGAACAATTACAGCCTATATTTTTACGATTAGATATTGTTATCTCTTATCGTAAAAATACTTAAAAACCACTGGGTCTTGCGATATTTCTGTTGGAGAACTTATTCTTTTAAAACCACAAGTAATTCTTTATTTTTTCGGAATGTCTGTAGTGAAGACATTTTTAATGCTCTACATTATTTCGTACTCAATGAATCAAGGTATTACATATTATAACAATGTGAAAAAATTTTATTCAATAAAATATAATTCAATTCAAAGTATTACATTGACTTTCTTATTTTTACATTGATTGTTTTAGCGTTTGGTATTATTTGCTATCAGTGTAACTCGATTGTTGATTCAAAATGTGATTCAGATCCTAAGAATACAATTTTTGAATTGGAATGTTCTACTTCTGTTAAAAGTTCTGCTTCAATGTTAAACACTACATTACTATCGCTACAAACAAACATTACTAGTATACAAGGTACGTTTTTTTCTGGTTTGCTATTAAAATAGAAATATTTAATTTGGCCCTTTTGAAAATTCTCATTAGTTTCTTTCTAAAAGACATATAAATGATCTATATTTTATTTAATTATATAATTATATAATAATATCTTACAAAACTTTTTAACGTATGTTGAAAAATTCAACACTCCTCGTTAAAAAATCTGAATATCTGGAGTATTATAATATTAAAATAAAAGAAATATTGATTTATTCTTGAAATGCTATATTACATAACAATCATACTAACGTAAATTCATCTTATAATTGTAATAATTATCATTTTCCAGATAATAACTTCTTTGACGAATGTTTAAAGATGACTGGAAGTAAGTAAATCTAATTGTCATTTTCTTATCAATATGTACTTAACAAAAAATGCTTATTATTAAAATTGTGTATTTGTAGCTAGGCAAAAGTCGAAATATGTAATGCGGAGTTGTTCATCTACGATAATCGCAGATGACTATTGGAAGAAAGTTGCAACAGAACTAGGAATAACAGTGGAATCTCTCTCTCGTTGCCAGTCAAACTTGTGCAATTCTTCCAGTAGCCTCAATATTTTATTCGCATCATTTATAGGTGCTTTCTTATTAGTTCTCGTTATGAACATGTAAATCCGTTTTATTTCTTTAAAGCGTTTCCAATATTGCATGTTAATTTAATTTTAATGTCCCACTTGAATTTACTAATTTTAATTATGAAAAAGAGAAATAGTACATTACCTACTCAGTGCGGGAAAATATTTTCTTGTCTCGTGTGAGGTTTACACGAGAGCTAAGTGACAGTGGAAAGGCACTACTCTTGCCGTACTAGTTAGATAATGTACTATCGTATTTAAATGATATAAAAACTAAAAATATTGAATATGATCAATCAATTACTTGTTATTTTTATCAGTACTACTCCTATCTAGTAAAAATAAAAATCTGAAAAATCTTTAACAATATTTGCTGCGTGCGACAAAGTTATAAATAAACATCAACGAACGCACAGTGCCTCAAACAGTTAACATCACTATTCTAGAAATTAGTGATTGAAATATATGTGAGCCACGAAATTAAAAACAAAAGACAAAAATCGTTATGTGATTCCTCACATTCATTTAATTATCAAGTGGAGAAGTAGTTATAAATCAAATTTCATACAACATCACTACGTTTGCGTAATGTATATTGACACGTCACAAATTCTGCTAGTCCTAACTTCCGAATTAATTTCAGCAATGAAATAGTTGATACAAAGCTTGGATATCGTGCCAATCTAGCAGGCAAATTGTTGTTTCACGGCGAGGAAGTATTGTTGTTATTTGAACTTGATAAGTACCTAAGACTATAAGCTTTCGTAATTTGGTTGTTTGTTGAGCTGTTAATTCATAAATACAATCTTGCGTTCTGTCGAAACGTCATGTCGGCCGCAAAAGAACTATTATTAAATATGCACTTTTTCATACTCAACGCATTAAGGTATGATATTATTAAAATAAAAAAAAAAATTTGTATATGTAATACAAGAGCTTTATTTGCGTCGCACTGGCCAAGGAAATAGACAAAGCTGTGTAGGGAGCTACGATGGTGGATAAGTCTGCCAGGCTTGAGAGCAGAGAAATTAGTATTGAGGCACGTAGCTTCAGACGCGTATACTTGGGTTTTAGTGTCTTTGGGATAAACTACTCAGCCGTGTCAGGGGCGTAGTCTTGTGCAAAGCGCAAAGAACAATCACAATTGAATATAGTTGAGTGCAGGTCTTTGTTATGCTTGAATGTTCAATAGGAAATGGATTTACGGCATGGAAAAGTAATAAAATGATTGATCGAAAGCAGTTTATAAATTTGTCCGTAATAACTACTTAATTTTAATAAAGCCGAATTTTAATAAAGTATAAGCGAAGCTTTTATTGATGTAACTGCCTCGTGTATAAGTTATCTGTATAACGAAATGAAGAGAAGTATGGAATACAGATCTGTCAGCAGAATTTCATTGATGGAATAAGTAACGGAGCAGCCATCGAGAAATCGATAGCGAAGCAGGGAGTAGACACGGCGCCGAAATATTAAAGGCCCTATTAGTCGTGTAAGAAAGGATTTGCATAGATCGGCAATGAGGCGAGCCGCAGCGCCGCGAAGGCCCGGGGGTCAGGCTTTCAATCGGTCGTCAACGAATTGATCTCTAGAGCGAGCGTAAAGCCGGTCCTGCGCGCGGAGAGCCTCTGGGCCATGCATTACACATCGGCGGCAGTCCATCGCGCACGCCCGCGTCTAATTGAAGTAACCACAAGCTGCAAGCCGCCTCCGCTCCGCTGCCCAATGATCGAGATGACTGCACGTGCCGCGCGCAGGCAGAGGAAAAAGAGCGCCGAGGAACCGTAACTCGCCGCTTCGATCTCCGCGCCCGCGCATTTAATTGCGACCCTCTCGACCGGTGCGCGCAACCGAATAAATAAATCGACTGCGTTTGCCACGGCGCCGGCTTTCCTCGTAAATCGCCATGGTTTTCGGTGCGTTGCACGTGCGATCTCCGCCAGATTGCCCTCTGATGCCCTCTGATGCGTTGCACATCTGATACCCATCGCCCGACCCTTTCCTATACGGAGGAACTATTACAGATTTTGAGATTGATATTGCACTGAAATTTGAATTTAGTAATGGGCCAATCAAACTCTTATCAAGCGTGCGCGCATTCGATATTGTGCGAGAGACGTTTGCTGCGACAAATTACAACAATGCAACCCGTTTAATGTCACGGATTCGTGCTACAATATTGATTTTGAATCTTGCCGTAGTTTGCACAATGTTTGTATTTCAAATCAAGTTTCATCGACGTAATAAGCATTTTCTTTTTTAATACGAGCCTGCAAAGTTTTCTCTTGCTGTTGTTGGTTTTAATATATCCAAAAGTTCAATTTTAGAAAAAGAGAGCTCGCTCAAGTGGCGTTGAACGTGGCTTTCGTATCAGTTTTCAACGAGCATTATAGCGAAATGACTACTCGCTTGATAAGAAAGCCAGCTCCATCCCACTCGCAACTAGCTAAAGACGATATAATAATTTTCCCTCTCTCTGTCTTCCTCACGCTATATCGAGTGAAAAAAGAATCCGCTGCCGCCCACATACTCATTCTCGACACACGTGCAGCATTTATATAAAATCGCCAAGAGGTCGAATCATAGAAGGCCCGCGATCGAGAGAAGAGGCGCGCACCTCGTTTTTCTCTCTCGCGTAAAACTGGAACCACGAGCACGAAATTTATTAACATCATTTCCATGCGAGCTCGTAAAAACGAGAAGTAAGCGCGCAGAATCCGTCCTGATTTCCATTTCCACTGGCGCATAGCAGCAGCGAATATTCGCGCTTCGCCGCGGGCGACTTAAAAATCTGCGATTCTTATCGTAACACCCCATACCCTCTACTCGTTATAACGCGCGTGGGTGCAGCTTTGTGGGTTTGATGTCAACGTGTCAGGAGGCCCCCTGCCTATACGTGCTGCGGGTGGGCCTTTCTCGACGTTTCTTTTTATGGAGTCTTTTGTTTGTTTTGCCTAGTATACGGGTTTTGGAAAAGTTATGTCGCGTGTCCATAAGTGAACGCTTATAAAGTCGTCAGATGCGCGTTTGATAAATCTATCTTTTCGCGGCGGGATTATTTTTCGGCTCTTCTTCTTTTCTTTGTGAGAATGATACCCGTCGAACGGTTTGATTGTCAAGATAGCGTTTGAAAAATGGAATGGGATGCCTTACTTTTCTGAGTGAAAATCGACGTGTCTAATGACTAATGTATACTTGAACCCGATGACTTCATATTTTGAGATAAGGCATTTGCCCGCAAACTTATCTCGATTATTACAGCGAAATTAAAGATATCAAAATTTTTGGTATAGTTACGTATTATCGTTTCAAAGTTTATTGGATTATATGAAATATTTTATTACAAATGCACACACTATCTGTTAAAATGTCATTAACAACGTTTCATTCAATAAATGGCTAGCAGATCACAATTCAATCAAGCAATAAAAAAAGCATCAATCGGCTTGAGCAACAGAATTTTACTGACCATCATCGCCTAATCATTCTACAAGATCTCCATCTCTTCATTGTTTATCACAGAATCGTGACGTTGCAACTATTCTCATCCCAAGAATTCCCCATCACCGTCTACCTGCTGTATTTATAAATATTCCCAATATCGCGATAATGTCTCTCTTTTTCAATGACCCGAGTTTATTGGTAATCTATTCGAATGTCATGCACGCCAGAAGCGAGAACATACTTGACATTTTTTTTTCGGAAACCGAACAATCGAATTTCGTGAGATCAATGCTGAATAAAAAGTCTTTTGAAAGCTTGTGGGAATATTGCTGACACGGATCTTTAGTATAACATTTACGGTTTCATTATAAAAAGTTCGGTTTTGCGAGAAAAAAGTTAAACACACAAGTCAAAATGTTGCATACGTGATCTGGAATGCATATGTTACGTACTGCTTTTCAGTTGTTTTTCAGCCTTTCAAATGAGAGAAGAAAGGGTGTTTGGCCTTCCAATTTTCCCTCACGGCTCGTCAATGTTCGCCCCCGCAAGAAATGCATGCCGCGATACTAAAAATCGATGCGAGCACAGTGTGGGACGGTTATCGCGAGATAAAAAAGTTGATTTTTAGGTGGGCCGTAAGTTGTTAATGGCCACACTGCCGCTAATAAAGCAAAGAGCTTTACGATGCTATTGTTCCATTATTAATGAGATTTCAAAGATTAAATATACTAATATAATATTGATCAATAATAAATAAGTCTTTGGAGGCTTATTCAGTTATTGTTCGAATTCATTGTGAGCTGGATATATTTTACGGTAACGCAAATTTATTGACAAAAAATATAAGTAACTCATAACTCATAGGATTTTAGTCAATTCAAGAATTACGAAGATATATTTTTTGCCTAAATCTTATGAAAATGAAAACGACCTCTTACGCGATGGAGATGCGTCGCGACAGAGAACAAAACGAATACCAACAGTTTTCTTAATTCGGGATTAGCATGAAAAATGAAGTTGAGTAACAAAAATTGCAAAATATCCATCGAAAGTGCTACAAGTCGTTAAAAACTGCAGAATTATTTTATCCAGGAGAATAGAAAAATATCCTGAGGCGCTTGAGTTCCAGATAAAGTTGCACATATTAGACACTAAACATCTTGTAGAACATACTTTTTATCTGTCCGTCTCTGTCGCTTACCGGCAACCAGAAGATCGAGCGAAAAATACCTTGACGTATCCAGAGTCGGTGGCACGTGGGCTCTTCTCCACATTAGTACCTATTAAGATAGTCTCACAGCAGCAGCGCGGCTCTGCTCTTTGATCCTCGTATGTACATATACGTTTTTTATAGCTCCGGCTAGGATGGCGCCTGTAGCTACTGATTTTTCAGGGCTGCGCGCGCCAGTAGCAGGGAAGCCTCTCGTGGGAACGCTTTCCACGTATTTATACGCGAGAGGTCGAAAGAGAACTCGGAGCTTATCTTGACCCACGGCCGGCTGCGCCGATTTACGGGGCTCGTGCTCGCACCACGGACTCTGGACTTTTATTAAATTTATACGAGGGCGAACGCGTGATCTGCGATTCTCACTGGCTACGAGGCACACTCGATTTTTCCTTCGCTCTTCGACCTTTTAATTCTTCATTTTGCGCCTCTTAACGTTCCCTCGCTGGCGTTGCTATAATTGCCGTTATTTACCCTTCGATCGTGCATTGGATACGAACTTTCTAACAATATTTCTTTTACTTTGATAGCAGTTGTAATATAACACGATTAAGAAAATTACATCACGGTCTTCAATGCGAGACATTCAGTTTAATTCCTGTCGACCAAAAGAAACGTTTTACGCCACGTATTTCTTGACTGTTGCATAAATAAATATTAATTTGATCGTTTGACTTGGGATTCTCATAATCTTGTTTCATCAAATCATTATCTATCATTATATTTTTCATGCAATGAGATCGTTACCCGGATAACAGTTAGCTGTAATAATTTGATTAAGAAATGTAATCACTTATCACCTTTATATTTCATAAGAACAATTACAGCCTATATTTTTAGGATTAGATATTGTTATATCTGATTGTGAAAATAGTTAAAAACTACTGGGTCTTGCGATATTTCTGTTGGAGAACTTATTCTTTTACAGCCACAAGTAATTCTTTATTTTTTAGGAATGTCTGCAGCGGAGACATTTTTAATGCTCTGCATTATTGCGTACTCGATGAATCAGAGTAACACATATTGCAACAATTTGAAAAAATTTTATTCAATAAAATATAATGCATTTCAAAGTATTACATTGACTTTCTTATTTTTACATCGATTGTTTTAGCGTTTAGTATTATCTGCTATCAGTGTAATTCGTTTGATGATCCAAAATGTGATTGAAACAATTTTTTTTTCCATTGAAACGTTATGTCGGCCTCGAAAGAACTATAATTGTACATGCATTTTTTCATACTCAATGCATTAAGGTCTGATATTATTAAAATTGAAAAAAAATGCTTATGTAACAATTTGTACATGCAATATAAGAGCTTTAAAAACGTTGAAATAAACTAAATAATCTAAACGCTTTTAACTTTATTGATTTTCGTCCATTGTCGTATCTTGTATAAAATATTACAATTATAATTATTTTACCAATGAGAATTGTGATACAGTTCCTAAGTGAACCCATTACAAAAAGCATTACGCTACTATATAAGGTAGTACTCATTACGCCAAAACTGCAGCCATATTATACAAAGTATA